AAAATGCAAATGCCCCTCAAGAGAAATCTTACCCTGCTTATCCAATCAATATATTTGTTATCATTCCTTTGAGTGGAATCTACTCCTCACAGTTCATCCCTTCTGAACAAAATGCTTTGTAAGGCTTTTAAGCTACAATCCAATAATGCTTAATTGGAAATAAAATCCTACCGAATTCATGGAGTTTAATTCTCAGAATATATGCATTGCACTGGGTTATACACAACCAAAGGGCTTGATTTCCATCTTACTGGCTCATAAACCCAGCCATTGGGCAGAAGATTCATGGTTTCTGGTCAAGTCAAATGATCTGGAATCTAATGAAAAACTACGTAAATCCTGTATCATTGTCCCTACTCACTGCTTGGGGAAGTGGGTGAGACAATGTTTTGTTTTCTACTATGCTTCTGCTTATTGCCAGCGTGGTGTAGTGGTTAAGAGCAGTGGACTCATAATCTGGTGAACCGGGTTCGCATCTCCGCTCCTCCACATGCAGCTGCTGGGTGACCTTGGGCCAGTCACACTTCTCTGAAGTCTCTCAGCCCCACTCACATCACAGAGTGTTTGTTGTGGGGGAGGAAGGGAAAGGAGCTTGTTAGCCGCTTTGAGACTCCTTAAGGGGAGTGAAAGGCGGGATATCAAGTCCAAACTCCTCCGCCTCCTCTTCTTCTCCTTCAAACCAATATGGGTCTAGCAATGGGCTTCAATTAAAAATGCACAGAAGGAATATAATAGGCACCGGCAAGAACTCAAGACTCACGTAAGCAGGGTGTGTGTGTGTGTGTGTGTGTGTGTGTGTGTGGATAGACTATGAAGCTACAACAGTGAGATGATAAATTCCCCTCTTCCTCTGACATGCACACGTGTATTTATATTGGATCATGTTGTATGATGGATTTCAATAGTAAGCTGCCTTAGGAGCCAATACTGGACTTTATTTTATTTTTTTCAAAAAAATTTAATTAATTTTCCAAAAATTTTAAACATACAAACAAAAATCTTAACTGTACTTAATTCAATCTTCATAACATTGTTAGATGACCTCCTCTAATCCCTCTGGCTGAGTTTCAGTATACGGTATATCTTTGTAAAAGTTTTTTTCAAAACCTAATTTCTCATAAAATTAACTTAATCACTTAACATCTTTCTTTTCATTTTAACTTTAAACACTTATTCTGTAACATCACATATTTAAATCCTAAGCCTATCTGATATTTGCAAATTTTTCCAATTAAGTTATCTTAACATATTTAACTAAATAGTCTTTAAATTTCATCCATTCCTTCTGGTACTCCTCCTCCTTCTGGTCGCGGACTCTTCCAGTCAGGTCGGCTAGCTCCGAAAAGTCCATCGTCTTCATCTGCCTTTCCTCCACTGTTGGGACTTCTTGCGTAACCAATACTGGACTTTAGTTGAGCATGCAGAACATCCCAGATTCAATCTCCAGCATCTCCAAGCAGGGCTGGAAGAGACCCCTGCCTGACATCCTGGAAAGCTTCTGCCAGTCAGTGCTGGCAATACTGAGCTAGATAGACCAATGGTCTGACTCTGCGTAAGGCAGCTTCCTATGTCCGATGAAAAGCGAAGTATAAATTAACAGATGCTTCCTGCTTTCTTCCAAGATTCCTAGAAAGGCAGCTCTTTACCGTTAAACATGTGTTCAAACAGCAAAATCCTCTGCATGGTTCCAGTTCCACTGTGTTCAGTGGGACTATGTTCAAGATCTGTGTGCCTACAATTGCAGCCTAAAATATATCAGTGATGAACGATGTCAGCCAGTAGAGGTCTCCCTGAATCTTTTATGCTGACTATAATTCAGCTCTTTTTTTTGGTTGTTAATGACTTACATTAACAATTATATTGTGCTGACACAATCTATGTCCAAAGCTGAGATACAAAATGGTACAGAGAAGTGTATTCTTCTGGATGCTTCTCAGGAAGGATTTTAAAATGTACTGATTGAAGCACAATATGGGTGATGAATTTGAAGCTGTGGTCTAAACCACTGAGCCTCTTGGGCTTGCTGATTGGAAGGTCGGCAGTTCGAATCCCTGTGACGAGGTGAGCTCCCGTTGCTCTGTCCCAGCTCCTGCCAACCTAGCAGTTCGAAAGCTTACCAATGCAAGTAGATAAATAGGTACCGCTCCAGCGGGAAGGTAAATAGCATTTCCATGTGCTGCTCTGGTTTCGCCAGAAGTGGCTTAGTCATACTGGCCACATGACCCGGAAGCTGTCTACAGACAAATGTCGGCTCCCTCGGCCAGTAAAGCGAGATGAGTGCCACAACCCAAGAGTCGTTCACGACTGGACTTAACTGTCAGAGGTCCCTTTACCTTTACCTATGAGTTAAGGTAGCATGGTGAATTTGTGTGATTTCCCCCTGTCTGTCTTGTCTGTCTGTCTGTCTGTCTGTCTGTCTCTCACTCTAGAAAGAGATTTGAGAAAATCCATAACTTGCAATTTAAGTATTAAGCAGGAAAACAGTATTTCAGCCAGAATTAGGTCAGATCTTAACACGTTCACTTCTAGTTTTCTGGCAGCCTCAGAGGTGTGGGTGAATGAACACCAGCAGCACATACAGACTTCAGCATGCAGTTTTCCAGCATGCTAGTGCAATCCCCAGAATGTGCATTGAGTTGCCATCAGACTGCATCTAATCACCTCTATACAATAGCACAAACGCAGGAGGCTGGGTTGCCATATTTTGAAGAGCAGAAAAAGAGGATGCTATGATGGCCATTCAAAGCAAATAAATGCAATTTGTCTCAAATTTTACCGCTGGAAAAAAGAGGCCATGTCCTAGAAAAAGAGGACACATGGCAACCCTCATTTTCTGAGTCAGACCATGCGTCCATCTAGTTCATGGGTAGACAAAGTAAGGCCTGGAGGCCGGATCCGGCCCAATCGCCTTCTAAATCCGGCCCCCGGATGGTCTGGGAATCAGCGTGTTTTTAAATGAGTAGAATGTGTGCTTTTATTTAAAATGCATCTCTGGGTTATTTGTGGGGCATAGGAATTCGTTCTTTTTTTTTCTTTCCAAAATATAGTCCGACCCCCACAAGGTCTGAGGGACAGTGGACCGGCCCCCTGCTGAAAAAGTTTACTGACTCCTGATCTCGTTCAATAATGTCTACACTGACTGGTAGCAGCTCTACAGGATGTCAGACTAGGATCTCTCTCGGCCCTACCTGGAGATGCAGGGGATGGAACCTGGAACATTCTGCACGTTAAAGAGATGCTCTGCCACTGAGCTAAGCCTCTTTCCCAGGAGACTTTAACCTGAGAAGGTAAATGCTAGTGGCAGCCCGGCTCTCTTTTTGTTCGGCTCCACCTGTTTCACACAATGACATGATGAGTCAGGCTTACAGGCAAGAGTAGGAATAGCCACATAAAAACAATTATGGTGCCCCCCCCTTCCTGCAAGTACCAATCTCTTTCCGAAACAAATGTCACTGTGTTCTATATGCCAATGACAAGCACAGAAAAGGAAGATCTTGACAAAAGAGGTCAGAGCCACACACCCAAAAACACCTTGGACCATTTCCAAGTAAGGAACTCCCAGGCTGCCATTAGTTGAGCAATTTCCCCAAGCCTCATCTGACTGGCTTTGCCCCATGCAGAGACAGCACTAGCAGGTGAATTGTCTGACATTATGTTTCTTTAGTAACACAAAAGCAAGTTTAATAATAATAATAATAATTTTAAAACCAGGAGGCTATGAGAAAGTTTGAGAAGCCTTCCCAACAGCATCCAAACAATAGTTTCCATTTGTAACATTAAGGCTTTCTTCCTGTGGAGGTGAGTAGTCACAGGTGACAACTACCAAGAAGGATACAGTTAGGCTGCCTTCTGCAACCTGGTGCCCTCCAGGAGTTTTGGATAAGAACTGTCCTTAGCCCATACCAGCCCAAATATCTGATGGGTGAAGCCTGGGAGTTGTGGTGCTGAAAAGAAGGCTGTGCTGATGGGTGCCGGTGCCCAAAACATTTGGAGGATACCAGTTTCGTGAAGGGTGTTTGCAAAGTAAAGAAAACCCTTAGGTTCCATGGATTCAGCTGGAGGACTCTAAAAGGAGGAAGTGAAGGCAATGCTGTAGCTATAGGGTAGCTAGCTGGGTGTGAGGCCTCCAGAGGGGTGCCATTGAGGCTCCCAGCTGGGGGGGCTTGCCAAACTAGGTCTTTCACTCGGGTGAAATAAAGCCTAGTTTCACCCCTAGTGAAGGATCACCCCCTAAGCCAGTGGTTCCTAAAGTGGGTGGTACCACCCAAAGTGGGTGGGGCAGTGGGCTAACCTAGGGAATAAACAACTACAGTGGTACCTCGGGTTACATACGCTTCAGGTTACATACGCTTCAGGTTACAGACTCTGCTAACCCAGAAATAGTGCTTCAGGTTAAGAACTTTGCTTCAGGATGAGAACAGAAATTGTGCTCTGGCGGCGCAGCGGCATCAGGAGGCCCCATTAGCTAAAGTGGTGCTTCAGGTTAAGAACAGTTTCAGGTTAAGTACAGACCTCCGGAACGAATTAAGTACTTAACCCAAGGTACCACTGTATCTGACTTTTAGAAGACATCTGAAGACTGTGTGTGGGCTTACAAAGACATTCCCTAAACTTCCTGTTTAGGGAAGTTTTTAATGTTTGATGTTCTGTCGTGTTTTTAATATTCTGTTGGGAGCTGCCCAGAGTGGCTGGGGAAACCCAGCCAGATGGGCCAGGTATAAATAATAAATTATTGTTATTATTACTAGGGGACTTCTGGAGGTGCAAATGACTACAGTATCAGACTTTGACAAGCTGGTCTCACTGGATCAGGTTCATCGATGTTGGTGGATTAATTGTACTAAAAGTTTTTAACTGGACTTGGAACAAACGTGCAATTAACTGTTACTGTTTTGGATTGCCTTGTGTTCTTAACTTCCTTTGTGGGTCCTGCAAACCACTGTTCTGAACAATGCTTTTTTTACAGGGCCGTGTTCCCCATATCCTCCCGGAGCCTAGAGATGAGCCCTGCTGCAGCCTCAACCTGCTTCATGACACTCTCTTCCTCAGGTGCTGCAGCAGCAACTAAGCTGTGGTTTCAAACTGGTGTTGACGTTCCTGCATTGCAGCGGGTCGGACTAGATGACCCTGGGAGGGTCCCTTCTGCGATTCCTCCACCGCCACCCGCCTCGCCGGCAATTCACACACAGGCCTGAACACACGTGCTCAGTTCCTCCTCCTCTTCTCCCGCCCCGCCTCAGCCTTCATTGGCGGCCTCCAAGCGGGGCTGGCTCAGCCGGCGGGCGGTTGGTTGCTGCTCCTCCGCCCGAGACCCGGCGCGGCGGTTCCCCGGGTGCGCTCGCCGCGAGGAGCCGAGAGGCGGCGGGGCGGAGGCGAGGGAGTCCGGGTCCCTCCAGTCCCGGTTCCCGCGCAGCGCTGGAGGAAGAGGCGGCCTGAGAGCGCCGGGGAGGCGTTGCCCGGCGAGGCCGGGAGTTCGCCCCCTGCCCGGGCTGCAGAACAACAAGCGAGGAGGAGGCCGCCCCCGAGCAACTCCTGGGCGAGCGCTGGGGACGCCGCCGCGTCGCTTTCCCGCCACCAGGGTGGCCGCTTGGATAGCGCGGGAGGGCGAGCGCGAGGCGCCTCAGCAGCAAGTGGCGCCGCCGCCGCCGCCGCCCCGCGCAGACCTCACAGGAGGCGGGAAGCGCAGCGGCCAGGAGACAGAGCTCGGCGGCAGCTCCCCCTGCCCCGGCCGGCCGCCATGGCTGCCGCGGCGAGGCGACAGCGAGGGACTCGAAGCGGTGGCTGCTGCTCCTGCCGCCTCCTCTGGAGGAGTCCGAAACAAGCGCCCCAGTCCAGAAGAGGTAAGGGCTAGGAGCCGACGGGAAAACCCCTCTCCTCTTCACGTATCCAAATATGCCAACGCCTCGGGGGGCGAAATCCCATTGGCCTCCCTCCCTCAAATATTCGAGGCCCCCACTCCACCCCAGTTGATGGGCATTGCCATTCAAATGGTGTGCGTGCCCCGCGGCTGGTGATCGATAAACCAGTATTTTATTCAAGTTGGCACCCTTGTAAAGCAGCCCAAAGAGACAATACGCTTTGAGCTGCCTTTCCTTTTTACCAGCCTGAGAAGGGAAGTATCTGCACCACTTCGGAGGGTCATTGCAAAGCTCCTCCTCCTTTGCATGTTTGCGTTTATTTACTTATTTGTTGCATTTACTTTTCCCAGCTTTGTTTCTTTTAACGAAGAACGCCCCAAATCCCCTCCAAACCCATGCCAAAGTTTTGCTGCGAATTCGTAGTTAACGAAGCTCCCCCTCCCCCCCATCCCGGGAGCTCGAAAGTGGTGTGCATATACTGTAGTTCTTGGGCACCCCGTTTTATCCACACGGCAACCCTGTGAGGTGGGTTAGGTGGAGAGGCGGTGGCTGGCCCAAAGTCACCCAGTAAGTTTCGTGGCCAAGTGGGGATTTGAACCCTGGTGTCTTCCTCGAGTCCTAGTTTGACATCCTAACCATTACCCCTTGCTGGCCAATAATGAAGAACCTGGCTTTAAATGCAGGTTCGACATGAGCAAAAGGGCCTTGAGGATCATTTAAAAAAATAAAAAAATCCAGTTTTCAAGTATTATCTCCCATCAGTTAAAGAGAGAGAGAAATGTATACTGCATATGGGCTTACAAAGTAAGAAAAAAGCACAAGACTTTTCTCTTAGTTTGGTAGATGTGGGAGATCAGTTTGACAGTGCCAGAATAAAGTGGTGCATTTAAGGCCTGTTGGGCATGGTAGTCTTGCAAGGGATGGAAGTGCTGCAACTAACCCATCTGCCCTTGTTCCTCTGGCTGGTGGGAAAGGCTAACTAGGAAATGCCCAGCACCCTAGAGCATAGTGGCCTGGCGGGGGGGATAGCACTGCACTTGGTGGACCAAGTGCACCTCTTAAAGGTAAAGGTAAAAGGACCCCTGACCATTAGGTCCAGTTGTAGCCAACTCTGGGGTTGTGGCGCTCATCTCGCTTTATTGGCCGAGGGAGCCGGCGTACAGCTTCCAGGTCATGTGGCCAGCATGACTAAGCCACTTCTGGCGAACCAGAGCAGCGCACAGAAACGCCATTTACCTTCCCGCTGGAGCGGTACCTATTTATCTACTTGCACTTTGACGTGCTTTCGAACTGCTAGATTGGCAGGAGGAGGGACCGAGCAACGGGAGCTCACCCCACTGTGGGGATTCGAACCACCGATCTTCTGATTGGCAAGTCCTAGGCTCTGTGGTTTAACCCATAGCGCCATCCACGTCTTGTGCACCTCTTAGCCTTGTACAAAATCTAACAGAGAGACATTCTGCTGTGCCATGCCTTGCTTTATTTCATGTAAAGTACTAGCCTGCCTGGAAGTTGCATCTTCTGTCATGCAGCGAAGTCAAAACCCAGAGTCTTCACAGTAAATGAATAAAACTTTACTGAGTTAAACATATTTCTTTACAAAGACATAATGGAGGAGAGCAAAGTAAAAAACAGGCACCCCCAAACACTGCCCTCCAGATGTTTTGGGACTACAACTTCCATCATCTGTAGCTAACAGGACCAGTGGTCAGGGATGATGGGAATTGTAGTCCCAAAACATCTGGAGGGCCGAGTTTCGGGGTGCCTGGTAAAAACAGAAGAAGTTTAGACTAGGCTAGAGAGCACTTCGTGTGTCTTCCTACAATTGATACAATATTTGTACAAGGAATGAGTCATCTAGCTGAATTGGTCTGCACTTTTCAGCATTTTCCAACACTTTCTGCACTTTACTGTACTGCTTCTGCTCTCAAAGACCTTTGTCACATGACATCTTTTGAGCTATAGCCATTGCAACAAGAAGCCATGGATAGCCTTATCCTCTGTGTCACAACTTACCCCTGTTCCTGCATGTGTGGAGACGGGTGAGACCGTTTAGTTAGCCTGCACATGTTCAGCGATGCTCTCTTTTTCTCTTGCTTCACAGGATTTGGGGCTGCAGCCTGGAAGTGTAGACAGATCCCAAGGCGTAAGCTCAGATTCTGTTTATGATAACAGCAGTGCCTGTGGTGAGGCAACTCCCAGCTGCTTTTCCAGTTGCTATGAAATATATCAGGGTGTTGCCAAAACTGCTGGAGAGGTCCTGGGCATTGCACAGAATTGTCTCTGTGCTGAAAGTTGTAGGGTTGGGAAGGGAGAGAGCTGTTCAGGTTCTGATCCTTCAGGCATCTTAGACCATAGCTGTCAACGTTTCCCTTTTTTGTAAGGGAAATTCCCTTACTCCGAATAGGATTCCTCACAAGTAAAGGGAAAAGTTGACAGCTATGTGTTAGACCATTTCCATTTTTTCTTTACATCTTGTATTACCTCTTCCATCCCCCATGCTACTGTTACTTTGGGGAAAATGTGGACCCAAAGCTGTCAGAGAGCCAGTGTGGTGTAGTGGTTAAGAGCGGTAGTCTCGTAATCTGGAGAACCGGGTTCGTGTCTCTGCTCCTCCACATGCAGCTGAGTGACCTTGGGCTAGTCACGCTTCTTTGAAGTCTCTCAGCCCCACTCACCTCACAGAGTGTTTGTTGTGGGGGAAGAAGGGAAAGGAGAATGTTGGCCGCTTTGAGACTCTTTCGGGTAGTGATAAAGCGGGATATCAAATCCAAACTCTTCTTCTCTTCTTCTCTCTTACAAACTCTTACAAACTCTCAGTGGGTCTTGCTCCCAGTGATGACTTGGTGATGATGTCCAAAACAGTCTTATGTCCAAAATAAAAGTGTGCACTGCACTGTGGGTTTGGGAATTTGATGGGAGCTGAAATTCAGAAATAAGAGAGGTCTTTCTATAAAGCTATGATGCTGTAGAATATACATCAACTTTTAAATGTGAGGGCATCTCACTACCATATTAAAAAAAGTTGGGGCTTCTAGCAGTACACACGCCTAGGAAATAACAATGGTTACCTTCTCAGATTGCTGGTTCACACTCACGCAAGCGGCCTTTCTTTAATAGAACAGTTTGTAGGGTGAAGAGACAGTTGTTTCTGCACATACTTTTCTTCCAAAAGTGTTTTTCAGCTTACCTGCTTGCACATTCAGTTCCATCTTTATTTGGTTATGCAAACATCAACAGGAGTTTCTTTCTTGTTCTGAAAGTTGCATGTTGCTTTCTGACAGGCAATATACCTTTAGTCATTGTTCCAACTCTCACTGAAAGGGGAGTTTCCCCATTGACACTAATGAGTACCAGTTTTTGCTTTTTAATAATGGCTTGATTAAAGAGAATGTAATACCTTAAGAGCTTGCAGATCAGCTCTGCTGCTGTGTAATTAAACGTAGCTACTGGAAAGCAGTGTCAGATTTACACATTGGTCCTAATCCTGCTAAGAACAAAGTATATTTAAAGTTGATGCAAAAGCACAGTATCTTTTAGTTTATCCAACTAGTCTCTTGGCTGTAATTCACAAGACAAAGTTTGGAGACCATTTAAAAATAAGAAAACTAGAAGAGCAAACAATGCTAAAATAAGTGTGAAGATTGCAGAAAGAGGCACATTTTAGTTCATTTAAATCAGTGGAATTAAGCTTGCTTTACTATATAATTGATGGTCGTCATGGTATGTATGTATATTTTCCACCAACAATTATATTTCTTAAATTTTTCACCAAAAATTATTGTTGAAGTATTCAGACTTAGAGTGTGGTAGATTCTAACAATGCATTCTTACACTAGTCTCCTCAGAAGTAAGTCCCATTGAGTTCAACAAGATTTCCTCCCAGGTAAGAAGGTATAGGCTTGTAGTCCAAGTTCCTTGACATTGTGGTTCCAGTATATGGTGTATGGATAATCCTCTGGTGCTTAAGACTTTTCGTTGTGTTGTGTAATCCACCTTTTAGTAATGTAAATTTATGTTATGTCTAGTGGGAAGTAAAATTGACACTACTGTCCAGGACACATAACCTAAATGTGCATGCTGCAACTACTTTGAATTTTGTTATATTAGCCTGTAGTGCAAATGTAACAACCTCTGTCAACAAGAATACACACTTGATTTCTCTTCCATGTTCTGTCCTGAATAATCCTTGGAGCACAACTAGTACACAAGAGGTGCGTAAGGAGAGCTCTTCTAGACCACAGATGAGCATCCTTGCTTGCGACAATAGCCAGCAGCAGAGGTGCTTCTACAAAACCCACAAGGAGGGCTTGAAGGCTACAGCTGCCTTCTCCTCAGCAAGTGGGACTTAGTGGCCTCCTGCCCCTCTGAACTTGGAGGTTACATACATGAGTAAGCATTGATCAAAGAGGTTTAATGATGGTCTAGACTAGAGGGTCCCCAACACGCTGCAGATAGTACTTCAAATGCCTGGCTGAAGCTTGCAAGAAGGCATACTTGATCAGCAAAGCTTTGTTTTTACTCAGGCTGGATGCAACCCATAGTTGCTAAGGGTTTCAACAGCACTGCAATATAAGCTGCAATCCCACGCCATGTGCTTGCATGCTTCAAGATCCAATAGACTTCAGCGAGACATTTGCAAACAGGTTTAATTATTCAGCCTTAGACTTAGGTTTCAAACATGTGCTTGCTTGTTCACAGTGACACTGACAGGTAGAAGAGCATACAATTGTAGCCATAGGAAAAGAGGTGGGGATTCTTTCATTTAAAGCAGCTTGTGCAGAATTGACTACGAGATAAGTATAGTAGACCATTTTATCCAGCTTGCCCTTGACAAATGTTTGGTTGGGTAAGACTCTTAGGAGCATAATAATTGTCTTAGCTTTTCAGTTTAGGAACTCTTAAGAGAAGTGTGTGCAAATACCAATGCCTTTGCAAAAAGTAGGTTTTGAGATACAATAAAAATTCTAATCCTGACTTTCAGTTCATTGCCACATGACTTAAAATGCCTACTGTTTCTGTTTTGATATACGTTCCCCCCACTTGTAATGGAATTTTGTTTTTACTTGGCTATGATTCGAGATCTGTTACTTCCGTAGGTAGTTGTAAAACTAGTTTCTCCACCCTAACCTAGAAGGATCTGAGCACTGGAGCAAGAGATGACTAATTTTCAATTCTAGTTAACACCAAACTTCTCTTGAGAACTTCAGCTGGAGTGTCTAAAAAATACACAGAGTGTAAGGGAGGTGGTGGGCCTGTTTAGATGGCCCGCCATCAGAGTCTAATGGATCCTGGTGTCTTCCTGAATGCAGGAATTTTCCAGTGGAAAAAGCTGATGATTCTGTTGAAGCTCTCACTGTGGAATGGTGAGATTGGATGTGCAGTTGGCACAATACTTCCAGAATGGCTTCTTCAGCATTGCGGAGCCTGCTTGCCTCCTTGGTAATCTGGGGAGCTTCAGTCTATACAAGCTAGACTCAGACTAGAGCATAAGTAATGCTCTCCTTATTTCATTCTGAAACTGACCAAGCACTGGCCAGTGTCTACCATGTGGCAGTGTGAGCTGCGATAAAGGCTCATTTTGCAGCTTTCATTGTATCCTCTAGTCTAGGAGCTGGCTGCAGAGGTTGCTGTCCCCTGCATAGGGGAGGGGCCTCTGGAAAATTCCAGGACCTGCTGTGACCATCTGGCTACACATTTTGTGGATAAAGTTGCTTGACTTCGGAGTGGCCTTGATTCAGTGGTCGTTGCAGTTCCAGATGAAGTACCCAGTGCCAGAGTTGGTGAGATTGGTTTCAGCTTATGCAGGCGGCTAACGTGGGCAAGGCTGTATGCTGACCATGCATTCTCTTGACCCCTAACGCTTCTGGGCTTATTAAATCTAGCAGAGGGAGTTTAATTATCTGGGCCTAGAGCATGGTCAATGCTTCATTGCATTAGCAGTAACTATCAACCAGTTGCAAATATCCGCTTGCTGGGGAAGTAGGTGCAGAGAATTGTGGTGGGGAACCTGCAAGCATTTGTGGTTAACACACATTATTTTGATTGATTCCCTGGGTTCAGGCATGGCCATGGGACTAACTCTGCCTTGGCTACCCTGATGAATGACATTACAGATAGAGGGAAAGGGTATGTGTGAGTTTGCTCCTGCTTTTTGACCTCACTTCAACTTTCTGTGCCGTTCGCTACTGCATTGTCCTCAACCGGCTCCAAGCAATGGGAATTGGGGTCACTGTGGTACATTGATTTCAGTACTACCTACAGGACCAGGTCCAGAAAACAGCATTGGGAAAGTGCTGTTTGGCTTGCTGGAAGTTATCCGTATGAAGTCCCTGGGAGTGGTGGTTGGGCATTTGAGGGCAAGGTGCCATCAATGTGTTGATGTCTCTCAGCTCTGTTTCTCCATCACATCTGAATCAGGAGAGGCTGTGCAGGCCCTGGACCAGTGCTAGACACGGTGGTTGGATGGATGAGCAGGCCATTTTTTAAACATAAATATGGGCAGAATTCCTTCGCCACAGCCCTTATGACTCCTCCCCACCTGTGACGTGTGCTTTTGCTTGACCCTAGTTTACATTTGGAGAAAACAAAATGCCTATTTAAAAGCTGTTTGCATTCTCATCTGGACTCTGTGATTGTAGATTTGCCCAACCTGTTTCACACAAAACTAAGTTTGCTGGCCACCAGTGCAATTTAGGCCAGAAGAACCACCTGGTTCAAGGCATGCTGCCAATGATTCTGATATTGGTGTTTTGTTGAGGTGCACAATGCCAAAATGCTGAAAGTCATGCAAAGTGAGAACTGGTGGAAAGTGAGGTCTCTCCCTGGTGTGTGTTCCTGAAGCAGACAGCACTGCTCACCCAAGAAGCACATTTGCTTGAGAGGTGTTGGTTCACCCAGCACACTAAGCCAAGCCATTGCCTTGGAAAGCAGCTTGAATGTGTGGGCTTCCAGAGAGGAACTTGCATCTACTTTGCTCTTTGCTGCTACTTTTCTGCTGCACCTTGCAAAGCTTAGCCATGGCTTGGCTTCGGATGCCATTTGAACTGGGACTCACTGCTAACCACAAGCTGTAACCAAGAATGGGAGATCAAGGTTTGGCTTAGTGTGGCGTGCAAACCAGACACACATACATTTTCTCCTCTGCTCATATTTGATGCAATATCCATTCCTGATTGATTTCTTTTAAGCAGCATCTCTCTTATGTGATGTTCATGTACAGTTCTTGCAAAAACATGTTTTGAGTGTGTTCACAGTGCTGTAGGCTTGAGCAGCTGAGAAGGGCTTGGGGATGTACCAGACCAACTTGCACTGCTGCAAAAGGTTTTGTGTTTTAACACAAATAGAAACATTAAGGGTTGTGGAATATATAGGGGAGGAGGAGATGTGGGTGGTGAAGTGTTGTTTTGAAGCAAACATACTTTCTCCAATTAGGTAGGACTCACAGCAGCAACTTTGCACTTAAACAATGAAGCACATGAATAAAAGACAGGAAGAGGAGAGTGGGTGTCGAGGTAGGGCAGGAGGCGGTTCAAAATGTGGTTCTGTTCCTTACAGTCATTGCAATTAATTGATGAAGCTACTTAAGTGTGCACTTCTAAAAGCAGTCCTTTCAAATCCCTGCTAACAGCAGAGGGCTTGGGGAGAGGGAGGAGGAATGCCTACTGAACTCAAAGCATAAATTCACATGCTGGAAAGAAGGAATTTTTTTTAAAAAAACACTGATTGCAGAGCGGAGCGGAAGACCTCCTACAAGCTGCAAAAGGGAGTGGATTTTTCTTTAGCGGCATGGGAATGGGTTTGACAACAACTGCTGAAGAATGCCAAGATTTCCACACCCTTCCTCTTGCTGTCAGTCAGTGGAAAGGGGAAAGTTGGCACAATGAGGCAATGCCAGCATTTGACTTCTACAAAGTCTTAAGGAAGGGGTCGGCAGCCTAAGGCCCATGGGCCACAAGCCCATGGGGGTCATTTAAGTGGCCCCCGAGCCGCCCCCGAACCGAGCCGCCCACTCAGCGAGCCTCCATGCGCTGCACTAAACTAGTGCCGCGCAGGGACTCTCTTCCTCGGCGCCCGAAATCGTGTCTGTGCAGATGCCAGAAATCGCATCTGCACAGGTGCATACACTGGAAATCGCAGGTGGGCGCATGATCCAGTCCACGGAGGGATCTCCACTGGAGTGAACCGGCCCAGGTGAGGTAAACCTTGCCGACCTCTGTCTTAAGGGATGTCAAGCAGGAGAGACAGACAGGATGGAGGAAAGCAGACTATGACCAAACATACCATAGTTACTGTGATCATATGCAGAATGTCCATCGGCTTAAGTGCATTTTGTACGATAAACCATGGTTTCAAAAGTGTTTTAAAACTGCAGCAGACATACACCCTTGTGGTCTAACCATGGAAACAGGTGCATAAAGAACAGTGAGATGGGATTTCATTTACTATTCCCTCCCCAATAATACAAACATATGCCTAATATAATGGAACACAGATGGAACCAGATCTTTCAAGTTTAAATGCTTTATGTATAAGACTGAGTGAATATATTCTTTCCCCAATCTTTTGTTGCTGTCTGGTGTTACAGCGTTGCCTGAAAAATGTACATTTGAGGTTTGTTGGTCACATGCTTATTGGACTGTGTGTGTGTGTCATTGACTTACCAGGAAAAGGGCATGGGGTTGATGGACTGCAACTGATGAACTACTACTAGAGAAACAAAATACTATTCTGACGTGTGTCATTTCCTAGTATGCTGGTTGCTGACACATTACAGTGCTGAAAATTATTATTGTTTCCTGTTTCTCCTTATATTTACAGGATGTAGACTTAAAAGTGAGCCAGGAATGTTTGGAACACTGTTATGTTATAGAAGATGAAGACTCCGAATCTCAAGAGGAGGAAGAGGGTAAAAGCGACCAAGTGGATTGGAAAGAGAAGCTGAGTCCAGTTTCCAGCTCTTCGGTGAGAGTCATAAAAAAAGTTGTACTGGGCCATATATGGTTAAGTTCTACTCAGCATAGACCCATTGAAATTAAGAGTCTTTTGGTAGTCTTGCCCATTAAGGTCAATGGTTCTATACTGAGTATGACTCACATTGAATTCAGTCCATTGCCTGGGAGCCTAAGTTGCTCTTCCATTCATGTATGATGGCGGAGATTCTCATCAAATCCCCTGCCTCATAACCCACACCATATCCCAAGGGTCCTCAAACTCCCTGGGGTAGATTTTCAGGGGGCTGCAGAAAGAAGGGGGAGGAAGGAAAGTCTCTTTCCATAAACAAGACTTCTGTTCCATTCACAGAAGGAAAATTAGAACCCCAGCCATCAATATTAGTGTTTTTGAAAACTGATTCAGATATTTATTCATGGCAAGTCTTTATGAACATTTTTGAAATGTATATATTCACAAATACCATTGTGGGAATAACCTGTCATGTCTTAAAAGATATCGTTAACTTTTTGCTGCACCAGTTACATGGTTATTATTTTCACCAACCCCAAATTTGTGGTCCACTCTTTTCTCTTTAACATCCCTGAATTATTATTTTTTAAGTTGATGTTGTTTTGCTTTAAATCATAAAACAGCTTTAGTATCAAAAGACTCCAGTTCTGACCATTATAAACAATGAATTTATGAAAGCAAGCATGTTCCGATAACTGCTGTTTACTAAAAAGTTTTACAATGTGGCATTTAAAAAACAGCAACCATGGAAGTGTTGGCAGTTTGTAATTATCAAACTATTAGGGCAAGTATTACTACTTCCTCTGTAGCTGCATGAAAATCTAATGGAATGGTGAGCCTTAACTGCTAGTCAGGGGTCAGCAAGGTTTACCTTGCCTGGGCTGGTTCACTCCAGCGGAGATCCCTCTGTGGGCCGGATTGCGGGCGCGTGATTTCCGACGCTGCAGAAGCGAGTCCCCATGCTGTGCTGGTTTAGGGGCTCGCCAAGTGGGCAGCTCATGGACTGGTTTAATGACCCGTATGGGCTGCTTGTGGCCCATGGGCCTTAGGCTGCCGACCCCAGTGCTAGATGGAAGACAGCAGCCGAATTCTGGGGTCCTGTTGTAAGCTTTTAATTGGCTGTCACGTGAACTCCTGGTTGTCTGAATCCACTCTGTGTGCAGCGAACAACATCTCAGAATGTGATATCCTATAGTGCTTCTTCACAGATGTACTGCTGGCCAGTTAACTTGGTATGAAGATAGCATGCTTTGTTGTTTGCAAATGTTACTGTCACTCAGCGACATGCATATTTACTTAATACATTTTATATACCACCTGTCAGCCAGTTGGTTCCTAGGGCAGTTGAGAACAGGGTAAAGGGGTTGTCAGCCTCTTTCAGGCCCCTGGGCACATTTAGAATTTTGAGTTTTGCAGCTGTATACATCTCCTGTGGCTTGAAGTGGTGTCATTTTCCTGATCCCCCTTACAATTCTACTTACAACTTTCCATTAACAATGGAGACATGTCTATTAATTGTGGGTTTTTTGGGGGGTGGGCGGGTTTACAACAGACTTACAGAAGCACTACTGGTTCTCCTTTCCCACTGGAAGGTTATTTTCCACTGCCAGCATCACTGACTGAAAATACACTGGAAGTAAGTGTTGCAATTTGAGATAGTTTACAAGCTTATGTGCAAACCGTTGGAAGCATGCTTCTACAATAACCTAGTTAAAGCAACTCTCTTTCTTGTCAGAAATTCTACAACTCAACTGCACCATCTTTTTTCCCCCTTTACCATTAGCTTGCTTCCAAAAAGTGTGATTTGCCGAAGTAGAATCTGAAGAATTGTTTTAAAACCATTTCCCCGATTTCTACAACTCCATTCTAGGTGTTATGACAGAAGCCTCTGCTTACACCATGGAAGCGAAAGTAGTAAGATGAACCTGTAGTGAATGGAAGTGTAGCAACTGACTTGGGGGTGTATTCATTTTTCCTCAATTTGACTAAGGGGTTCCACATGGCACACCTTTCCAAGGGTGCATCCCAGTGGTAGGTGGAACAAATGTGACACTTAGCTTTGAGCTGTTGACTACATTTCAGTCGGGCAAGATCACTCAAGAGCAGGGTAGGACAGGGTTTGTGACCCGTTGAGAGTCATGAGGGTCAAATGGAAAAGCCCTGGAGGGCCTCATATTGCCCCAGGCAGAGGTTCCTCGGCCCTGATTTAGAAAATACCTGTGGTGGCCTACAAGGCTCATCATAATCACCTGTGTTGTTAATGTTATGTGTGGAATTGTTAAAATGATAACTCTCCTGCCTTTGGACAGCACAATAATCAACATGCTGCCCTCCAAGTTTGTATTTTATTAACGTAAACACCCAGCAGAAGCTGTATTCTAAACCAAAGTTTGAACAGTAGGGGAAAGTGTGTAGATATTTCTAAATGGATGCAAGTATGTGAGGAACTACCTAGCTAGGGCAAACAGCTGAAGATGCTTTCATTTAATATAACCATAGAGGTGGAAGGGATCCTGAGGGATCATCTAGTCTTAACCCCCTGCATTGAAGGAATATGCAGCTATCCCTTATGAGGATTGAACCTGCAACCTTTGCACTCAGCACCACACTCTAGCCAGGAAGATGGGCCCAATGTTCAAGATGTTTGTTTTGAACCTTTTCAAGCTCTTCTTGCATGCCTCAGTATCTTTCCCTACATTACCTCCACCCCAATGTCTGTTGGATAAGCTCATAAGAATTCTGCCTTGAAAAATGGGGAAGACAAGGTGTGGGCTGTGAAACTTGTGCCTCTATGTTGCAATTTTTAGGAAAACAATTCAAGCTGCTCCTGTTTCAGCAGAGGTGGGTAGTGGTGGTTTTCCAGTTTGTATTGCAGTAGATAGACAAACTACTGCATCTTACTGGTTTCTTTTTGATGTTTTCCTCAATACTCTTTCAGGCTGCCATTTTTAGTGATCACACTCTTTCTGTAACAGCTGGTATTTGCAGAAAGCATTCTCTGTGTTTAAAGTATTGTGGGGGAGGGGGAAATAACATTTTAAATTATACAAAGGGCTGCTGTTGAACTGGCTAGAAACTATTTAACCATAGGGAGAGTTGCAAGGTTTCAAAATAACATAGAAAACATATTTTCATTTTGCTCCTTCTTTTAGGGACACTGGTTGGGAAATACTATGCCTGTTATCAACAGCAGAGGTATGAACCTGTCAAACTTCCACAATACAGTTAATTTGACTCAGGCTATTAGCCGTGATGTTAGTCTTCATGATGCTACAATGATGAAATTAGACCACAATACTATAGTAAATGCAGAGAAAAGGAATTTGGAGATATTGGAGACTCTTTCATTAACCGATTCTCACACATCACTAATGAATGGTGTCAACATGCTTGGGGGTTTTGCATCTGATAATTGTACGAATCTAACAAACCAGGATTTGTTCTTGAGCCTGGATGGACATGGATTTGAAGCTTCCTGTTTCTTTGAAGAACGGGATTCTGATTCTGGACTGTCTTTGGATTTAAATCATAGCAATTCATCCCTTGTTTTTACCTGTGACAGTGATGCTGAATCTGCCACCTATGATGATTTAGTTGTAGGAGGCTGCTGCGCAGAATACAGCAAATGTTACCACACAGATTATCAAAGCAATTATGATCTCAGTGCAGAATTGTTTGTAGATGTGTTGCATGATCACACGTACAGCCAAATCCCACAACAGCTGGCACCCTGTGTGCCAGAAGAATATTACTTCATGTGGCCAGAGAAATCCAATAAAGCCAGAAGTAGAAATGGAGATAACGCAGGAAAAAACCAAAGCCGTGATGAATACCGCGCAGAAGCCCTGAGAATTCCATTCTCTGTAAATGATATTGTGACTCTGCCTGTTGATTCCTTCAATAGCATGTTATCAAAATACTACTTGACAGATAACCAGCTATCACTCATACGTGACATAAGGCGGAGAGGGAAAAACAAAGTCGCTGCTCAAAACTGCCGCAAACGTAAACTAGATGCAATTATGAACCTGGAAGATCAGGTGTGTCACCTTCAAGCACAAAAGGAAAAGCTCAAGAAGGAAAAAGCCCAGTGTAATAGATCAATTAGCAATATAAAGCAAAAACTAAATGATCTTTATTGGGACATTTTGAGTAGATTAAGAGATGACCAAGGAAGACCTGTTAACCCAAGCCAATACTCTCTACAGTGTTGTAAAAACAGCAGTGTTTTGGTTGCACCTGGAAAAGCCATCAAACTGGAACTGAAACAAAACAATCCAACCAAAAAAATGGCTAGATAGAAAATATTTCTCTTTAGCTATTGAAATGGAAAGGGATGTTTCTTAATTATTCTTAAATACTGTGACATTCACAGTTAGTTTACACAGGGAAAAATAAAGTTTGGTAAGGATCTACTTTGATTACCCACATTATCAAAATATTTTTAAGACTTGTATACAAAAAAATAAAAATTGTGTACTATAAACGAAATGTCCAAGCTCTAGGTCTGTGAACACAGGCCTAATAGAATCAGTTCTTAACTGAAGATTTCTCTTCATCTGAATAAATTATTGGTTAAACCATATTGCATAATTTATTCAGCTTTGCTAATCATGGGGGGAGGCAGAGGAGTATTTGTAACTTAAAACTTCATTCTTTCATAGCCAGAACCAGGCAACAGTTTAAATGCTGAAAATGGCATTGTTATCTTTTATTTATTTTTATTCCTAAACTTATCTACCGCTTGATTGCTCACAATCCGAAGCGGTGTACATAAAAGAATCCACAAGCAATAAAGTTACCATAAGACCAAACACTACCTAAAAATGCCTATTAGAATAAGGAGGTCTGAACAATGTGCCTGACGTACAAGCCATGCATCCAAAAAATAGAGAACCACCAGCAAAGACTCTCCCAAAGAACTCAGTGATTGGGCCGGGTTATAATGGATCCGATAGTGTTTAAGAGATCCTGCAACTATGTTGTCAAGGGCCTTGTAAATTGTCAGAGCAGTGAGCTTGGTCTGGAAACATTGGCAGCCATTTCAGTGGCCACTGGTATCAATAGCTGCTGACAGACGAGATGGAGCAGAGCTATCCATTCCCACAAACCTACTTTTGATACAGATCTTCCCTCAAGGCCGATTCAGTTCCACAACCATTGCTGCCCACATCAAGGCATGTAAATCATTCCCATAAAACATGTGAAGGTGCTGCATTGGACACACAAACTGCTACACCTATGGCACTACGGAGCAGTGATGTTACTTTTGAAGTGCTGGACAAACTGCTGAGTGTTCAGAGAACCACCCACCACTTCTGGTAGCTAGTCTCTAGATCACCTGCAGTAACAACTCAAGGACACAATGTTGGCTGTGAAGTAGTTCTTTGCAGTCTTCACTACCACTTGGTAGAGAAAACTGTGACCTTACAAGTGTTTGATCAGCTTTGAAGTGTTTTCCATAACCTCTGCTCCAGTTGTGTCCCAGCCTCTTTCATTGCCTGCAGCTCCTCAGCGAACCAAGGAGCAGTGCCGGCCCTGGGAATGAATACCCCCATTCCACAATGAGACCATGGTCTCGAGGATCACTGGCACTATCCACTGGAAAATCCCCAGAGCAGTCAGGAACCTATCTGGTTCCCTTAGTCTCCACAGATGCACCATCCAAATGGGTTCCCCACATTTGCAGTGTTGAGGTTGCTGCCAAAAGTCCAAACTTCACCAGAAAGGGATCTGACCATGACGGGGGTTGTGGACCACCCTTGTATACAATCCTACCCACTATGTGCAAATACTAAATCATGGGCAAGTCCCGTGAATAACACATCCCCCCCCCCCCCCCCGGTTGACACCTTGTCAAACAGGTTTTTGAAACTCTCTACTAACCTGCTAATCTGGTTTGATAAGGTAGCTATTTGAATGTATGCATAATAAAGGTGTCTTGTCAGTCCAAGCCTATCTTTGCATAAAGTCTTAACCATTTATTTAGGTTCTTGTGTTACTGCCTGCACCATCCTATTAATTTTTACTCAGAAATCTGTGTTGAATAGGGTTTATGCTCAGGAAAGTATATTTAGGATTGCTGTCTTGATTTGTGTCTAGTACCAAATGTTATACTTGCAGTGTTCTGGAAAACAAATGCAGCCCTCTCAATGCATAGAAATGGAACGTAATCAATAGGATTTGCTTTCCTGCAATTTTACAAGCAAAACAGCAAATTAATTGCCACATGAAATGTAAAATGACCACTTAATTGAATGCATTGAAATGCAAGTAGAGCTTGCACTTTATAGAATTTTGAATGGACCCTGTTAGCATTTGAATGGTCTAAATTATAAACCTTAAATTTACAACTTATTTAAATCGGTATTTTATATTTTTACCTTTGTATAGTAGTATAAAGTGTTTCTGTTTGCTTACTGTTGTCATTATTAGTGATTTCTGATACTGTTGCAATTACTTTATTTTGGAGGAACATGCCAATGAGCTTCTGCAATATAACCAGCCATGCATTTACATAGTACACCTGGTAACAGAGTCCTGAAATAAACTTTTCACTCTATAAGAGCTGCGTTAAATTCGGCTCCCTATTTACAATCAACAAGCACGTATGCTTCAAAATAATGAGTGTAACAAATAGTAGAGTAGATTAACTCTTCCAACACCATGTTAAATTTAACACACCTTAAGTACACTTTGATTTTGTTTTTAAGAGGGCCAGAGTATTGCCCTTAACCACAAAAATAAGACATGCCCTTTTGAATAAATCCTAGCTCAGATATGCAAGAATATTCAGACAGAGATCATACGTAGCTTTAAAGAAAACCATGGGCTTTACTGCAAGATATAGTGTTAAAAACAAGATTCACACAGGCAATGTCTTTTTAATGATTTTCCCCAACATTGTGTCAGTGCTTAAGAACTCTCTAAAATGACATTCAAATGACATTCTAGTTGTTCGAAGGTGTTGCTTTGCATGCAAGGTTCAGTAGATGTTTAGGTCACACTGGGGAATGGAGTGCAGAAAAGAGGTTGACCCACTTAACCAAATACTTCTGCAGATATTGATGTTGTACCCACAGCATATTGATACCTCCCTCTTACTTGCAGCTATCTTTTTTGACTACATAGCCATTGTAAATCAGCACCCAAATTGGATCTAATCTATGAGATACCATAAAATATGCTGTGTGTTCCCTAAAAGAGTTCCTGTCTTCTAGGCTGAAGAAGTGTCATGTAGTAGTATGGTTTATATTTTAACTGTATGAAATGTTAAAATGTTATCAGACTAGAAATATTTTTGTATAAAAGTTTATTATCACTTATAAAAAATATGACACAGTATTTGCTGTCTTAAAACATTAATTTTGATTTCCTATTCAGGCTGAATTCTAAGAACAGGTGCTACTATAGTTTTATATATTTTAAAAAGCATTACAATAGGCTGCACTAATATTAATTTAACCTAAAAGGGTTTTATAAAACCAGCAAAACCATCTATTTTGTGATGAGCATAGAAAAATCTTATTTCTTGAAGTTTCTGTGGTTGACCACTTCTTCATTAGTTACCTGCAGCTGGCACCTTCCTGCCAAAGAAAAAGAAAGTATCTGAAGAAGTTTATCATGTATGCTTCTTTGTATCACCTACAGGAAAACTTCAGCAAATGGCTATAATCCAGATGAGGCAAGTCAAGACCTCTTAGTGTACAGATTGTACCAGAGACAAACTTTAAAAGACAAATATTTGCACTGAAAAAGCTGTGGCTGGTATGCCTATGACTACAATCGCAGAATTAAACAATATGCTACTCTTTAAATTGCAACAATACATAGCAAACAATGGCAAAGGAACCTGACATTTAACACATCTTCAACAAATATGCAAGAAAAACAAATTAGCATCCTAGCCAATTCATTTAGCAAGTCATAAAAATTCCACCTCATGTATTATTTTCTTGTATACAACTATCACGCAAGAATGGGTGCTATAAACCAATGAGTAAAATTATTCCTACATTTTAAGTTCTATAATAAGTATCTTCAGACAACACAGTAGACAATTTTCATAACAATAAGACTTCAGCTGCTCTGAATACCTAAGAGTTCACCATTTTCCTTTAAAGTGTTTATTTTTTAAAAAATTGAAGGATAAAAACATGAAATTGTACCATGTAAGTGAGCTGCAACATACCATTTTAACTAACCATAGCAGGGATGGGACCCTTGCAAAGTTTTAATGGACACTTGGCTGGTTCATTTGCTCAGCAGGTCTATTGCTTGTCCATGGTGCATAAAGCTAGATTCCAGCAGGGGGAAAGATAGGTTAAGCAGCTGAAGTTAAAATAAATGAAAATATAATAGCAAAAACAAAAACCCACATCCCAAGAAACAAACAAAAACAGTAATCTTAAATTTTTCAACCACAATTGTTAACTTGGTTCATTGCTATGTTAAACTAGATAATATACCACTATACTGAAACAGTACACTGTCATATAGTATTAGTTTCTTGTTTTTGGAATATTAAGAAAGGAAAAGTAAATAAGATCTTACCTAAAGAAGTTTAACTGAAGCTTAGAACTATTTTGCTCTACACCCTCAGCTCTCGTTGGCATCCTTATAAAACTACTGTAGTTAAAGCTCTGCAGAAGTACAGCACAGCTTTTTAAGACTGGCTGAACTTAGTGCCGTTCTCAAGAGTTCTCTTGCACTAGACCTGTGTCCCTGGAAGAGTACCTCGCTGGGGATATTTCCTTTCCTTGCCATTGAAGAAGCAGCATCTAAAAGATCTAAAAAGGTGTTTCTCCTTGCAGAGATATCCCTTAAGTTATCTAGGTATTTTAAACCTGGTGATTTACAGAAAACATTATCTGACCACATTTACATGTACAACAATCACTTTGTAGTATTTGTGGGACCTTCTACTACCCACTCCTTGCCTTAATTTACAACGTATTTTAAATAAATCTAAGATTACACAACATTTCCTTTAGAATTATTTTATTAAATCATAAATGTACAACAGCTTCTTAACTCTACACACGCACTTAAATTTTTAAAAGGAAAACGTTATGTCTTATTACACCATGATCCTGGCTAATAGCTTTTCAAAACTTTGAGAAAATTCTTTAAAAAGGTTTCACATGTCACCTGAAACTTACAAATTTAACATTATCAAAGGAATGATTCTACACTCTTACAAAGACCACTAGAAAGAAACAACAATTAAAAGCTAAGAAACTGTCTCAAAGGCATTTTTACAATCCTTCCTCCACAGTAAGGTATGTTATTAAATAATCCAATCCATTCACAAAATGGCTCTCTGCATCTGCTCTGGTGTCTTCTGCCATATCACTGCATATTTATGCATGACTGAGATAAGTTTCCTTAACAATGTTATTCGAAAACCTGAAGCTGTTCTTTTACCTCTGGGCTCATCCTCTCCTATTTATACAGTGAAGCCTGTTTCAACAGAAGTAAAGAGTAAAAAAATAGGTTATGAAGTTATCCATCTACCCAATTTCTTTTTTAAAGGAAAGATAATATCCTAAAAAGCTTTTACCCCTGCAGCTAAAGTCAAGAAACACTGCAATTTTAGCATTTTAAAAATGTACACTCACCCATGAAAAGCTTACAGAAGATCAGTAACGGCTCCGCCCTCCATATCCCCCACTTCCTCCACTTCCTCCAGGACCATAGTTTCCTGTATTGTTAAAATGGAATGCATAAAATTAACACAGATGAACAGCCATTCTCAAGCTTCATCAAAATCTTACTTTTAAACTGCAATCACCCAAATGGCTCAATTCTACAACAGTCAATTAGTGCTCTCAACATCTTTCAATCAAAATTGACATCAAAGTAGATCACCAGATCTAATTAAATCTGCAAACATTCCTGACTGCGTCAACAGGGGGAGGTGGTAGCTGCCCTTTTCAAGGAGACACAGATCGATCTGTACAACATGTATGCCAGGCTTTCACAACCTGACCAACTCCCACTTGTTTTGGAGTACAAGTCCCAGTAGCCCAGGCCAGTATGGCTAATTAAAGGGGATGGGGGAAGTTGTAGTTTAAAGACTGATGTATGCAAATGGCAAAAGAGATTCCTCAGAATTATACAACAATTTGGAATGACCACAACTAGGCCTCCAGAAAGGGTTGTGCAGGTAGGAATAGGTTTGATTCTTAATTGCTGGGTCACCAGGGGCAGTCCACTTCAATTGCAAGTTACCTCTTGACTTTCTATGTATATACAGCTTTCACACCTATTGGGAAAAATAAAGCACTACAATGGGAGTGGGTTGCAGGGTACAAACCCTCCCACTATCACTCACCGGTGTGCTATTAGGAAAAGATAGCAATGACCCTCTTCCTCTCCTAAAGGCAAATCCAGGATTTGTGGGAAGGGGGGGTAGATACTTTTCTATTTCACTTTTTGTATTACCTCCACCATATGGTCCTCCCATGTTCCTGCTTCCACCAAAATTTCCACTCTTCATTGGACCATAGTTTGAGGGCTGTTGGTTGTAGTTTCCAAAATCATTGTAATTTCCTCCTCCATAATTGCCTGAATCAATAAAAAGTTTATGCTGAATAATCAAAATGCTAGCTTTGAATATAGAATGTCACAAAAAACATGCCTTCCGACTTATATATAACGCTGTTGGCCATCACATGGACTGAAATGTTTTTTTAATACTCTACTATCAGCCTTTAGATCAGCCATGATAAATACATTTTTAGACCTTTAGTTATAAAACACTTCAGAACACCTTTTGTGTTCCAGTTTCAAGAGCAATGTATTTTTATCTTGCCTTTCGGGCAATTATTATCCCCCACAGCACCCCAAATAATTTTTTAATAAAGACATACTCTGCCACCACAAATACTTTTGAATTCCCACCACAACAGAGAGGACTAAAGCTAAGGCCCAGTGTTCTAATTCCTTCCAACATTACCTCCTCCATAGTTGTCATAGCCACCTCCATAGCCCCCACCCTGGTTGCCATATCCAGGTCCTCCTCCACCATATCCTCCTCTTCCTCCGCCATAACCAGGACTGCCTCCAAAATTGCCACCTATTGTAAAACAAGTCTCAGTAAACATGCAGCTTATATCAGAGTTGAACTTATATTTCATATAGAATATTATGGCCACAACCATATCCTTTTAAAGAAATAATATGTATGTAGCAGAATTTTTCTTGGAAACAGACTTTTATACCACACAATTCTCCTCTATGAAGCAATGTGTCACATGGTGTGGGGGCTACTGCTTGACGAAAACCCAATCAATAGAAACATCATTATATGCTGCTATCCTGCAAGCCACTTGATACAATTCTACTCACGTAATTGCACTTTGCAATAATAAAATTATGCACATGTCTTGAAATCAAACCATAAAGCCACATCTGGTGCTTACAAAGGCACATGGCTTTGCAAGTGCTGATAATCAACAATGCTTGCCAAGGTGCAATACATACACGTATGTGGAAGCCTCGTGGGCCTTATTAGGTCTGGAGGCCAGAGGTCCTCCATCACTGATTTGGAGGAATGATTTGGTTCCAAAAGAAAACTATTTGAATTACAGCATATTTATATGGTTGACAATGGATTACGGGCATATGATAGCAATTACATTGATTTTGAGTATTTTTAGACCCGATTGGACCATAAAGAAAATTTAATTGCTTATACCATTTCCACTAGAGCACACATACATACTATGTCTTCCTAAGCAAATTAAAGAGACTAACCTCCTGGTCCCCCGCCATATCCATTATATCCATCACCAAATCCACGACCGCCTCCATAGCCATCTGTTAAAAATAAAGTTTTTCCTATTAGTTTACCTAGTGCAAAAAAAGAAAACATTAATGGTTGCTGGTCATATCATATTCACATAAGGAAAAGGAAGACTACCATAACAGTGTTCTTATTTTTATGGAACTCCGGGACATAAAAACTTTAACAGATTAGTCTACATGGGCTTATTTAGTGCTTTGCAAAGATCACTGATTAACCGACTTACCAGATCCACCTCTGAAGTTACTTCCAGGTCCAGGTCCAAAGTTTCCACCACCTCCACGCGAGTCTCCAAAGCCAAAGTTACCTAAAAGCGTTCATCAGCTTAAGTTAACTACAATACTATTTCCAAAATATCGAATGTAAATACGATGCAATTTGCAAACATACCTCCTCGTCCACTCCTTGAGCTCTGAACCTCTTGCATTTCTTGTCTAGATAAAGCTTTTCTTACTTCTGCATTATGACCATTGATAGTATGGTATTTCTGCACTGTATTCACAAAAGATGGTGGGGGAAAATAAACAAATGATACAACCTTCAATCTAATCCCTCACAGCAGTTTCAGTTCAAAATTAGAGAAAACATTAATGAAGACTGCAACACTGGTGAAATTCAATTTTATACACTGACTTTCTACACTAGTACAAAATGTAAACCTGCCCCAGAAATAATTCTATGTATGCCTACTCAGAAATCCCACTCTTCACTGATGCTTACTCCCAGAAAAAAAAAATTGCAGCCAGGCTTCTACATTTTTGTTCAGTGTGCTTGCCAAGGTTGAAATAGCCACTGCCTTCTGGAGAAGTTGCAGCTGCAAATGTAGACAGTAATCGTCCTAGCAGTTGTGTGGAGATCCTTGCCACTCCCAATCTCCGAGCTTCAAAGGAAAGTTAGGGGTTGTTTGGCCCAGAATAAAAGGGAAATGCTCAACATGCATCCTTTTCCTGCTAGAGGCAGGAAAGCCCAGTTCTAGTTTGTTGTTCAGCAGGCAGTGAATACCTTCAACAAGAAAGGTGTGCATGGTCCCCATGACACCTTCCTGCAGGAAAGTGGAAGATGTTCTTGCCACTGCTCAGCAGAAGAGATCCAAATACCTCTGCCATATCACAATCTGGCAAGCAATACTGATTACTTGGCTACCAAGGCCAGCTTAAAACAGTGGCAACCATTTTCTTGCACAGTATAAACTTGGTATGCAATTTACATATATGCATGTAAGAAGAAATGGCAGCCTGCAGTGGTTACACTACATCCTGAAATGACTTGCTTGCTGATACAGTGATATATAGAACCAGGCCAAAACATGGGTACATAAAATATGTAACAGTGACAAAGATTGTTAATAGTATTTACTTACATACAATTTTATCCACTGGATCATGGTCATCAAAAGTTACAAATCCAAAGCCCCTCTTTTTACCAGATTGTCTGTCTGTAATTATTTCAATTGTGTCGATTTTTCCATATTCCGAGAAGTAGTCTCTAAGGTGATGTTCCTCAGTATCTTCTTTAATTCCACCAACAAACAATTTTTTCACAGTTACATGAGCTCCAGGTTTTCCAGATTCCTTGAAAAATAAGTTTAGCAAAACTGCCTAGTTAATTGTTGGTCAAACACAAAACAAAACCCTGAATTTCTAGTTGCTGGTGTTAATGAGTAACTAAAAATGTGTAAACTGTCAATTTCCATTAAATAATCATCAGAAAATTTTAATAATAGTGTAGGAAACCGACACCTTAAGCAGTATGAGTCGGGTTATTTTTATTGCTTTATTTCGGGAACGTTTCAGCAGTTGTCTTTTTCTGTTATCGCTATGACCTATAATTTTGGCAAAGTGTAACATTCATAAACACTATAAGAATGCTCAGATCACTTCACGTACATTAGCATGTTGCAATGCTGAGAACAATCCTGTAAAATTGTTTTATTATCCCCATATATTGGGGTTTGAGTGGCTTGAGTTCACAGCAGAGGCAAGACTTGAACTAGGAGTTTCCCCATTTCTAACAGTTTGAGGCAATATGCCATGCCAACACTCAGTTTCTACCATCAAATATATTAACTTTAGATCCCTGGCTTTTGTTGTACGATCACAGAATTGAAAGGTACTCTGAGGATAATCTAGTCCAGGTCACTCAGCGCAGGAATATGCAGCTGCCCCATCCAGGGATCAAACATGCAAACCTTGGCATTATAAACACCATGCTATAACCAACTGAGTTTCTTCCTCAGCTGCATGCTGCCAACATTCAATGAACTGCTTGAGACCTGCCACAGAAAAGTCACTGCATGAAATCCATACCTCAGCACAGGTTAAGGAAGTATTGCTAAATGGGTCTAGCCCACTGAGCATGTACGTCCTCCAAGTTGCAGTATTTTACATGCAGCAGCAAAAACATTTTCTGAACAATATAAACTTGTCTGCTTTAAGAGACACAGATAAGAGATAAAAATATCTCACATTTAATACAGAACAAAACTTACCTCCCTGGCTACAGCTCTTTTCGGCTCAACTACTCTTCCATCAATGGAATGAGGTCTGGCAGCCATTGCTGCATCAACTTCAGCCATGGAAGAGAATGTTACAAAACCAAATCCTCGTGAGCGTTTGCTTGCAGGGTCTCTCATAACCTACAAGATGAAGGTTGTGCATTTCAACTATTAAGCTCTAAATTACAATTATTGCCACACACATTTTGCTATCAGCAATAATTCTGTTTAGCAATTACTTTTCTAAGAAGAAATACAACTGTACCCTAAAGAATGTAGTTTAAGAATTGAAGTCTGAACAAACAACCGAGGGAAAGAATTTGGAAACTATCAAAGGCTGTCAGCGAATAGTAGTGCTGCTAACAGGGATTGCTAATCTGTAGCTCTCCATGTTACTGGATTTAAACTCTCTTCAACTCCAGCTAACATGGTCAATGGTCAGGGATAATGCAAATTGTAGTTTAACAATATCTGGAAGGCCACAGGTTCCCCATCCCTTGACCAACAACATGGTGTGCTGCAAAAATAAAGTATTTGTCAAGATGACAAAGATGGCTGCTGTGGCTCAGAAAAACAACCAATACACACAACACCCATCTGAAATGGCAAAAAATAATAATGAGGAAACATTTCCTCTTCCAGAATACGTACTTTTTAAAAGAGTATTTTAAAATAAAATTAATGGCCAGCTGACATTGCTGAAAATCTTTGATCAGTAACTCAAAGATAATGATATGAATTGTGGTAACATTGGTAAACAAGTGTAACATAGGTACAAAAAAGAAACACTAACATACCCAATGGCAAAATTTTATAGTTCTAATTCTACGTGGACATGGGTTTATATTTATAAAATGTCTGTCATACTACATGGCACCCATGAAAACTTTTAGAAAGTAGACAGCAACGTGGCACAGGGTGTAAAGTTCTAAGAAAATACAGTTAACATCTCAATGGGAACTCCAAAAATAGGTGTTTGCATCCCACCCCTATATTTTAAGTTATACACAATATATTTCATGAAAGAGGAATTATAGGCTTCATAAAAAGTGATGACTGAATGTTTCAATTTTCTGATTTTAAAAATCACAATCTATGTTAATCAATGGCTAAATCAGGAAAGCTTACTGACATTAACCTGTCACTACCCAAAAATAACATTTTCTATTTGTGTTATTAAGAGAGATTCTAGACTGAAAGCTAAAAATAGTATACAAGCACCATTAGCTGCAAGGAAGAACTAAACTTCTTAATCTCAGAAAAGATGCAATTGTTCTCATGGGTGATCGATGTCTATTAACCATTGAAGAGTTTATCTCACACTTCAGCACAAAGGAAACAGAAGTCTGCTCTTCTAGACAAATCTGAAGACAGTTATGGCTGCTAATGAACCAAACATGGTTTCATCCTGCATCCTGTCTTGCCTATTTTTTCCAGATTAATTTCCCCCCATACCCAAAGCTATCTAAAATCAAACGAAGATTAATGCACACAACTTACCACACAATCCGTTAACTTTCCCCATTGCTCATAGTAGTTTCTCAAACTTTCTTCTGTGGTTTCGAAGCTTAAGCCACCAATGAATAGTTTGCGGAACTGCTCTTTTTCCCTCTAATTCAAAGGAGAGAAAAAATAGTAATATAGCACACAATTTCTTCCTAAACACATACTAGATTTTATATATCCAAAAATAACTGAGACACTATCTTTTCTATTTGGGTCAAGCACTTCAGTTGGAAAAATATAAAAAATACATAATCTAGGTTTTATGTTTGCCAGGAAGCAACTGAGAACGGCCCTTTTGAACTTGATGCCTACCAAAGAAACCCAGGATTTAATACAAACTAGAAAATAGTCGTAGCTAATCTTTTTGATTCTTTACAGCAGGGGGAGGATGTTGAGCTGAGAATCGTGCAAGATTTTCCAGATATGTGAACCTATAGACCTCACAATTTAACATCCTGATAATATGGCTTCAAGGACTGATCAGTATGTACTCTAAGACTCAGAAATTCTACTCTGGAACACACACTCTATGTCATTTGTGGCAAATAAAAACCTCCTCAAAACCAACAAGGTGAACTCTAACAATGTACAGTAGTACCTTGGTTCTCAAATGCCTTGGTACTCAAACAACATGGAACCCAAACACTGCAAACTGGCCAAAGTCTATGGCCCATTTAATCATAGCCTCCTTAGACTTTGGCTATAATATAGAATTAGAAGCCTGGCAAGAACTATGGAATGTGAACTTAAAATTCACGGCTTGCACGGCATTACAGGAAAATGTATGGAAAATGATATACAGGTGGTACCTCACGCCGGTAAAACTGGCAAAGATGTACAGAATGAAAAATAAGAAATGCTGGAAATGTGGAGAGGTAGAAGGAGATCTTTTCCATATGTGGTGGAATTGCAGTAAAGTGAAAGGCTTCTGGGAATTAATTTACAATGAGCTTAAAAAAATGTTTAAGTATACTTCTTTTAAAAACCCTGAAGCCTTTCTACTGGGACTAGTTGGAAAAGATGTTAAAAAGAAAGATAAAAACCTATTCCTGTATGCCACGACAGCAGCAAGGACTATGTTAGCCCAGAACTGGAAAACAGAAGTAATACCAACTATTACTGAATGGCAGGTCAAAATGATTAACTATGCAGAACTGGCTAGAATATCAGGGAGAATAAAAGATCAGGATGAACAAAAGTTTTATGAAAATTGGAGTAAATACTTGGATTATATAAGAGACAACTGTAAATCTTTAAAGACACTGGCAGGATTTGATTAACTTCAACAGCTTATGATTAAATAGATAAATGTGTAAAATACGTGACATAATGAAAATATATGATACTTACCGAAGGGGAGGAAGGAAGTCCAAAGCTCAACAGAGCTAATGTTATGTATGAGATGTATTAATACAATGAATGTATTGGAATGTATGTTTGATGAAAACTAATAAAAATTTAAGTTGAAAAAAACAACAAACAAACAAACACTGCAAACTGGGAAGTGTTCCGGTTTGCGAACTTTTTTCCTAAGCCAAACATGCTCCTGGTTTCTCCAAACTGCAATAAGAAACACTGCCAGTTTCTTCTCTACTCTTTTTCAAAGTCTGCAACATAGTTGCACATTACAAACTTCTACACATGGTATTGTGTTTCTATGTATGCTAGTCCAACAATTATTATGTGGATATTTAGTAGGGGTTCTTTCTATCCCCATGGCCCACTTGAGAGGGCAAAATGGTGAAGAACAGTCACAAGATGGACCAAGCTTGTTTTTTCCAGCTCTGGAGGCTAGGACCTGAACCCAAAGCAATGGATTCAAGTTACAAAAAAGGAGAGTCTGACTAAACATCAGGAAGAACTGAGAGCAAGAGTAGTTGATAATGGACTCACACAAGAGGTGGTGGACTCTTCTTCCCTAGATGTTTTTAAGCAGATGTTGATTGCTATCTGTCCTGTATGATTTAGTTGCAGGGGGTTGGACTAGATGACCCTTGTGGTTCCTTCCAACTCTACAATTCAATGATTCTAAGAGTTTGCCATAATCAACTGGCAATTACTGACATCACTATTTACTTACACATGATCCCTCTTGATAATTGCCACACTTTTTGACACAGTAATTTCCTTGTGGCATTGAGTTCCATAGTTCAGCTTTCCTCAAGTCAAAAACACTGGCTCTGGAGGTGGCATGCCCTAGCATTCCCATTTTAGGCAGAATTTGCTAATCTAGAATCTCTAAAACAGAGCCACATTAGTTTGTATCTCCTAGCCCCAAAAAAGATTCCTCTCAAAGTATTCACCTATCCATCAGTTTGTAGAGAATAGTATTGTTATTTCATTACTTCTCCTTGCTCTATAAACCTTTACTTCCTCCAACACTAGCTTCCTTCTCTAATCACCATGCTGTCTATTTCCAAATTAATAAATATTACCCCACTCTTCTTTCATTTCCAGGCCATCTTTACTCAATTCAGGGAGGTGATTAATGCCTTCTTGTGAAAGCGGGTGGTCCCTACCTGCTTGAAGGAAGCAGTGGTAAGACCACTCCTTAATATGCCCTCCCTGGATTCAGAAAATCTAAGTAATTACTGGTCAGCTACAAATATCCCCTTCTTGGGCAAGGTTCTTGAGTTGGTGGTTGCAGACCAGATCCTGGCACTCTTGGAGGAAACTGATTTTCCAGATTCATGTCAATCAGCATTTAGGCCCACTTTCAGCAAAGAAATTACTTTTGTTGCTCTGTATGATCTCTGTCAGGATAGGAGATATGCGTCCCAGTTAATTCGCCTTCACCTCTCAGTGGCTTTCAGTACCATCAACCATGGTATCCTTGAGTGAAAGTCCAGGATGCGGGTAGCTCACACCCAGTGGTTCTGGTCGTACTTGGATGGTAATTTCCAATAGGTTATGCTTGGGGAGAGCTCTTCAGCCCCATGGAGCTTCAATGTGGGGTTCCTTGGGGTTCAATTTTATCCCCTATACTGTTTTATAAACATCTACAGCACATGAAACTGCTGAGTGGGGTCATCCAGAGCTTTGTAGTACATTGCCAGCAATATGCTGCTGGCACAACCTCAAGGACTGACTCTTGCCTAAGAACCAACCTAAGCCCTACAATAACATCTCAGGCCCTTCTTTGTGTGCCTCCTCCATGAGGTCATAGAATGACGGAACTATAGAGTTGGAAGGGATCCCAGGGGTCATCTCGTCCAATCTCCTGCAATGCAGGAAATTACAGCTAAACAATCTCTGACAAGAGGACCACCTAACCATTCTTTGAAAACTTCCAACCATCTTTTGAAGGGCGGCAACACAAGAATAGACCATGGTTCCCCATTTGTGGTATTCTCTCCCCACTGAGGCTCACCTGGTGCCTTCAGTACATATCTTTAGGCACCAGGCAAAAACGATTCTCTGTAACCAGGCATTTGGCTGATTGAATATTCCGTGGCCTTTTAAATGTGTTTCGTATGAAGGTTATTTATTTGTTTTTATTCTTGTTTGAGTATGTACATTGTGCTCTGGTTTTGTATTGTTATGCTGTGAACTGCCTATGATTGTCAGATGAAGGGCCATATACAAATTTAAAATAAACTTCCTCTACCTACATGGGTACATGCACACAGGGCAGCTGTCCAGTTCCTAAAGCCAGTACAGTCATACCTCAGGATAAATATGCTTCAGGATAAGTATTTTCGGGTTGTGCTCTGCAGCGACCTGGAAGTAACAGAGCGTGTTACTTCTGGGTTTCGCCACTCGCGCATGTGCAAAGTCAAAATGACATCACGCACATGCGGCGAACCACAACTGGCGCATCTTACGTTGTGTTCAGGATGCAAACAGGGCTCCAGAACGGATCCCATTCGCATCCCGAGGTACCACTGTATGTTATTCTGAGATAGTGAAGTGTTCTTCTATTAAAAGCTTCTGGAGAGGCTTCCTAACTCATAACTTGGGGGGGGGGGGCATGCTTAGAGGAGCCAAGAATGCACAGGAACATCCCAGAGGTGCTTCTTTTCCTCTCATTCCCAATACAACTGCCCGTTTTTCCTCCTGCCTTCCAATTTTTCTCCTCCCCTCACGCTTGGCCAGCCACATTGATATCTATTTACTCTTTCCTCCCTTCTACCTGATGCCACTCTCCCCACATGCCTATTACTGTGCACGTGGGGACCTACTATTGAGAAAAAGTGGATGTATGAGAAGGCACTGACCAGCTTCTTGAAAGGAGGCTGAGGCCCATCAATAATCCATGTCCACAGCTTGAGAAATATACTGTTTTTTTCTTTTTGCCACCACTACCCAAATTTAGGGCACAGAAATGTGCATAAGAACACCATAGCCAAGAATTAAGATACAAGGAGAAGATTGCTTCTATATCAATTTTCCAGAGTACAGTACTGTATTCTCTACACAGTATTCCTCAGCAGAAAACAGAATTTGAAATGAAAATTTTCAGATTGTATGTGAGGAAAAGAGTTATATTTTATATGTTTGTTTCTTCCTGAGAGCATGGTTGAGCATAAGCCAGTTTAAAACAGCAACCATGTTTAATTCATACTAAAATAAATCATAACTATAGTGGAAAAGTTGCCATAAAATAAGGGATGATAATTTCAACAAATTTGTAGGCCAAATAACCAGCTGAGCAGAAAAACAGCATTATAGTCAGCCCCATATCTTTTTCACAAAATGTGGACCATTCTCAGTTCTTGGTGTGTTTCAAAGACCCCATAAGCAAGAAAAATTTTATTACTGTTAAGATTTTATACTTTTTTCATACTTTTAAAGCTTTACCACACTTTGGTTTTACAACATAATAGAAGTTGACAAAATATTCTAGACTGATCGGAAAATAAAGGAGTTAATTTGCATCTACTATGCATTCCCCACATTTAATCCCCCAAAAGCATGTTTATCGACTTACTCTCAAGTCTAACAGGGTTGAGAAACAAGGGTTGTCCAAGCAGTTTGCGGGTCAGACCTAGAAAGGTCGCCATGGGGATTTAACATTACTACTGACTCAAACCAATAGCAGTCTGGAATTACTTTAATTAAGAAATGTAGCCCTGTACCTAATAACTGAAACTAATGGCACTGGATATTGGCAGGGAGTGTGCGCTACTCACACCTACCTTTTAAGATTCTACTACACTCCCGGAAATACTATTTTAAAAGTTCCCGAGGCATACTAATGTTATTTGTTAAGTGCGATAAGGCCCCGCGCTTCGATGCGTTTAAGCCTTCAAGACCCAAAGGTTCAAAGAAGTAAGCGGCAACGTGTCTGCTGAGGCAAACTCTTTTGATTAATCGACTTTAACATAACGATCTGAAACACCTGATGAGGAAGGCAGACGCGAGTTTATAAGCCTTGCTCACCCTTCAAGAACTTAAGAATGCCATAGGGTTGGCTGCTCCTCCGCCTCTCCAGCGAGGATGGCTCCGCCATGTGACGGCTCCGAGAACCCGAGGTGCACAGCGGGCTGAGAGAAAATGGCGCCGAGCACCACCGGGAGGGGGCTCGTTCCCAGAAGGCCAAGAAAGGCTACAGCATTCCGCTCTGCTGCGCACGCGCGCTCCCCCCTCCCCATCAGATTAGGGAGGAGGGCGAGGGAACCCGCCTTTTGTCTTTACTCGCACCCTTCACTTCGTACGCTTTCGCTCCCTCCTTTCCGTACTATACATACGGCTCAGTCCTTTTCCAGTAGACTGGAAATGGAAAAAAACTACTGACCTCCATAATGTGGGGGGATCCCTAACTTGTCGTAACTACTTAGCCGCCACAGCCTCCCCCCGCCTCCTCAAGGGCTGCCGTCCCTTCCAGAACCTTCCACACTAACGTCTTCAGTAGCAGGCAACAAGAGCCGCCAACTGCGCCACCAAGTGTTTTCCAGTTAACGGACTCTGCGTCATCTCAAGTATCTACGCTACTGGCGTATTGTGCCGCAGTTAGTCCCCGCGCTAGTCAGCACCACTACACCGCAATCCCTTCCACGCAAACTGACTAACACCCGAGCTTTAGGTTTCTCCCGCTAACGTAAGGGAGCTACGTGCTTTGCGTAATGCGGTTGGAGAATGCGATCCCGTCTTTCTGGTAATGGCGGACCTCATTCTTACGTAGTTAAAAATTCACACATCCTTGCCGCCCCAGGGTTTTGTTTTGTTTTTAATACGCGAAACCACAAAATTGGCGCGACGTGACCGGGGCAAAAAGTAATAAGGAATCGAGCACTCTTCCACATTGTACTGCTTTTTGCTTAAACCATCGTTAACCTGAGGTAACGCAAAGCCGTTTAATATGGCGAGAGATGTTTTTGAAAGGGACACCCAAAATGCGCATCGTCATCTCCAGCGAGGCCATCGACTGTTTCCGGACGCAGCCGGCGACGTCCGGCTGTGGCCGAAGAGCGCCGAAGAGTACTCGAACCTCGAAAAAGCGCCTTCGATAATTTCCGGAAAGAGCCGAAGGCAACAAAAGCCCACCCATTGCTGTAGTCCGGAAATTGCCGAAGATCCACGAAGACTAATAATCGCGCCAAAAAAAATGGAGAGTATAATTAACCAAGGGCCCATCCACCCCGCTTTCTATCTTGTATCAGCTTAACTAGCACTAACCTAGCGGCGCAAACGGTATAAAAGAGGGCGCTTTCTCCTCCCGCTTCCTTTGTCGCTTGGGGAAAATTAAAGCCCTGTCGCTAATGGTATTAAAATTCAGTGCTGTATTAAATAGGTCCTGGCAAAAATATCTTCCGTGAGCGAGCGGCTGACGGCACCCGCCATTAGGCGCCTCCTGAGCCCCTTCAAAAAACAACCCACGGGACCAAATCTAACCCCTTTTCCCTGCACCCGCCATTTACACCCCACTGCCGCTCTCTCTCTCTAGCGCCTTGGCTTTCCAGGAGGCTCGCCCGCCCGCCATCCCCATAAGGACACAATGAGTGTAAAAAGGTCGGCCATTACTGAGCCACGCCGTCCGTTACCTCACTCACCCAGTCGCTCTCCCGGTCTCCGCGAGGCATTTTCGGCCGGTTGAGGAAGCAAAGAAAAGCAAGGGAGGAGGCGAAAGGGTCTTTTTAAAAAAATTAAAAATCGCTGCGGTTTTTTTTCTGAGGCGAGCCCCCCTCAGCAGGCAGGCAGGCAAGCAGGCGCGGTGACGGCGGCGGCGGCAGCAGCAGCAATGGAAGTGTGTGAAGCGGCTAACGACTGCGCGGGCGGCGGCGGTGACGACGTCGACGGCGGCGCAGCAGCGAAGGGCGGGAACGAAAGAGGGCGGAGCCTCTGCTTCCTCGCGCAGCGGCGCTGAGGGGAAAAAAAACCCCTGCCCAGCCCCCCTCCGCGCTCCCGCCCTTGGCTGCGGCTCCCTCCCCGCCCCCCTCCTCTTTCCCTCCCTGCCCTTCCGCCTCGCGCGCGCACTCCCCGCCCCCTCAGATGTAGCTGCTGCCGTTGCCGCCGCCTCAGTGCGCGCCGGGAGCCAGGAGACTTCGCGGGAGCCGAGCGCCGCTGTGCACACCATTGGAAGTCCGTATCTTTCGCTTTCTTCACCCCCCCCGGCCTCACTTTCCTATCTCCTCCCCCCCCCTCTTCTAACGGCCGTTCGGAATAACAGGACGGCGAGGGGGGGGGGAACCAGGGCGCCTCTCTTCTTTCCCTCATTATTAGGATTATGTTTTATGTAACTCTGTGAGGGAGGCTCAGGCGTGGCCGCTTTCCCTTCCCCACCCCGCTCCTCCCGCCTCAGGTTTGGGCCGCCGCCGTTTCTTTCCGCGCCTTGTGGGGGCCTTAAAAAAAAACAAACCCATAAGTGCTCCTACCAGCTAGGCCTTTCCCACCCCCAAACCCGCTTTGGGGGCTGTTTGTTTGTAGATTGAGGTGGGGGGTGGGGAAGAGGACGATGACCACGCATCCCCGCCTCGGGCCTTCACTTCTGAAGTTTAAAAATCGCTTGCTCCCTAGTTGGTGTCTTAATGGGGATTGTAGCCGGGGGCTGTTTCTCACTCCGCTCCCGCGTTTTTCCCCCCCTCAAAAAAAGAAAACGAATCGGCAAATGGTGATGGGAGGAGGAGGAGGCACAGGCCGCGAACAAAGCGGAGATCAGAAGCGTGGACTTCTATAGATCTATAGATATAGATGAAGGTTCAATGCCTTGCATGGGGGTGGCGTTGGGGTTGCAGAAAAAGCGTGGCGGTGTCTTTTCAAGCTCGTCGAAGAGAGAGGCGGCGACGGCGGCAGGAAGTCGTCCTGAACGACGCGGTGATATGGCGCTTTCCACCGCAGCCGATCCTGCATCTTTGCCTTCTCATGTTCTTGGTGATGGGAGAGGCCCGTTTGGGTCTGCTTTCCTTCCCCCTTGCGCGCTCACCTCGTGCTATTAAGACCTATTTTAGCTTTCATTTCTTTGCAACAGGCCTTTGTTGCTCTCGCGTCCCGGGTTTCTTTTCTTTCCTAAATGGAAGCACGATTTGCCTGGCTTGAAATTGTCCTATGATATCTTATCTCCTGCAAGGTGGTGGTGGGAGGCGCTCAGGATTGCTGAGTGCAAGAGAGCTGCGGGGGAGGAGGGAGGGGGTTGGTCTCTCCCTTGCTTTGCTGAATCTCATGGCTGTGATGCTACTTTTATAGCTCTGCAGAGGAAACGCCATGAATCAGAACTGCAGAATTTGAGAAAGTATTTTGTATTTACTTGTCTAATGTTTTGGAATTGGCAAAATGTTTTATTGTACAGTTTATGTGTAAAGTTATGTGTCAAAAGGTGCAGTGACCGCCTATATAGTAGGTGTACTGCTGATTAATAGACTAATCCTGAATCTTCTTGAATGGTTGCATCTACCACTGATCTAAGTACATACAAATGGATTCAGGATTCTGTAATATACCTTACAGTTGAAGATTTTATTTCATTATAACTTGTTGTCTTAGAGATTTTCAAAATAACAATTTCCTTCAAACTTTTTTTTTAGTGCTAACTCAGGATGTGTGAGATTTCACTAGTGAAAAGGCATATAATGTATTGTAGGTAACTGTTATTCCAAATAATAACTAGCATAATGGAGGCTTAACTTCATACTCTATTAATGTACTTGAAATAGTTTTGTTCCCCATCACCTGGATAGAAGAAGGACCATACTTGTACTGAGATGCCTTTCTCTGAGTAATGCAACATTCCTTTTGTCATGCATTTTTCTAGTAAAAGCTCAGCAAGTCTGCAATAAAAATGGCCACCAATAAATCTACATTGGTAAGTTCATGACCACCTAAAATATGTAAGGATTTTACCACCATATTTCTTCAGATTTATTAAGTTGGCATCTCTGTGTAAAAAGATACATCCACATCTCCCCTCCCCAGCATTATTTTCCAAAAAACACCAGACAGTGAAAGTGGGTGATATCCAAATGACTTGGACTCATTTGGCTCAAGTAACATAAATCCGTTGATTTCAGTGCATCTTCTGAGTATGGCTGCATTGGATATCAACAAGTAAGGTTGCTGGAAACCACTCTGAGGTAAATTTTTATAGCAATGTGTTTTGTTATTGAAGCCTGATACATGATTCAATTCCTCACCTCTGTTTTATAGGGGCAATAATGTACGTTTCGCTTGAGGAAATGGTATTGTGTGGGTGGTAGATTGCAATCTATTTAAGAGGGCATGTGGTGGCATATAGTGCCAGTTCCAGTTGATATTAACAATTATATTGTGGTAGCAACATACCTAAGGGACGTGGGTGGTGCTGTGGTCTAAACCACTGAGCCTCTTGGGCTTGCCTTATCTTCACGGGTGGTAGGTATGTAAGCCATGGTTTGTTTGCATATGATCATTTAATATAACTGATCATGATTCCAGCACATACTAAAACACTTGACATAAGGTCAGAGTTGGAGGTCTTTGTTTAATTGAGGTTGTTTTCTAAACACTTGGATGCCTGGGACACAAGAGACCTGTTCAGGCATTAAATCCTTTTGATGGTTGGAATCATACAAAGGAGAGAGTGAGACACTTGCTGGCCCTGCTACCTACACTGGTGCGCAGCCTCCACACCTTGTGTAACGTGTAATGTGATTTAGAACCCTACACACGAGCACAAGTACTGCAGACCTTTGTCCTCCAATGTGTGGAGGGCAGTGGGGACAGGGCAGAAGAGGCAGGTCCCTGGTGCCCCCTAATTTCCAGAGTTTTAATGCATCAATAAGGCTTAGTTATATTTTTTCCTTCTGAATTAACTGTCACCCTTCATTCTTACACTTAAAATGATAAATATATACGTGCTTCCTTGATCCACACCTTGAAAATTTGGCACATGTTTTTTGCAACTACAGTGGTACTTCTGGTTGTGAACGGGATCCGTTCTGGAGCCCCGTTCGCAGCCTGTGCACGCACGGGCCGCGATTCGCCACTTCTGCGCATGCACGTGACGTCATTTTGCACGTCTGCACATGCGTGAGTGGCAAAATCCAGAAGTAACCCTTTCCGGTACTTCCGGGTCGCCGCGGGACACAACCTGAAAAAACGTAACAAGAGGTATGACTGTACAGGATGGTGGCCTGCCCCCTTGTTACCTGTGTTCACTCAGTCAAGGATGAAGCTGCGTTTCTAAGCAGTAGGAATATTTTTGGGAATTCCCATGCTTTAGTTAACTTTGTAGCATAATGCAGTACTATTCAAAGTGGTGGTCCTTGATCAGCTGCTGGTCCAAGGCAACTCCACCATAGTCCAGGTTGGGATGCTTCAGGGACCAAGTAAGATATTGGTCCCTGGCACATGGAATTAGGAAATGTTGCCCATCCACCACATCAGATAGTTTGAGAAGCACTGACATAATGGACATCCTTCCTCACTCTTGTGAGCTTAACACAACTTGAGGGAAGATCCATGTGCTTCTCTAGCTCCTAGCTGAAGGTGAACATTAGAATGGCTATGGTCCTACACGATGTAGCATGTGTCACCAACTGCACAAATTAGTCCCTTTTACCTCTGGAGTAAGAAGCTAGAATGATTTACATGGTAACAAATGTACACTGAGTTCCTTGGCTTCCTAGCACCCAAATGAATTCTTACTTTCCTCCCTTCCACGTTTGCAGCCAGAAGGGAAGGGAAGTCAGTGTCCCCAAGTAGCACTGTGTGTCTGAAGCACTTTCGGGTATCTTGTCCCCATCGCTTTTTGGAGCTGGGGAAGCAGCACTAGGGATAATTTCTGGCCTCAAGCAGAAATACAGAGCAACGTGAGGTACCAACAGCTCAGTTCTGTGCAGATCTACTCTGTGGTAAGTCCCACGGATTTAGATGAGGCACTGCTAGATAACTGAGGCCAGGCCAGCCAACACTTGGGGACTTGTGATCATGCAGTCCGATGCGTCATTCTTTTTTCCCTGGGATAATGTTTTGCTGCACATATATTACTAAAGAGAGGAGAGAATCAGTGCTGCCTTTGCCCCTCATTCCACCAAGTATGGAACAAGGATGCAGCCAACATAGTAGCTTCATTTTTCAAGGCACACTTCAGCCTCTTTCCTGGAGCAGTATTGGCCCTTGGCATGCAATTTAGAAGGTGCTGAACTAGGAGTATTATCAAATAGTTCCTGAGAGAGGAAAGTGATCTCTTAAGACAGGTGGCAATGGGAATTCAATAGTAAAAATTAGTTGTGTCTGTAAGATTCAGTAAGTAAATTTAGAGATGTAGCGTTTCTAGAAATTTGAAGTTATGGAGAAAAAATACTCATTTTTGGGGGGGGGAATGGAATTCAGTGGGGACGGGTTAAATATGGACGCAATACTGGCTTTGCTGTCAAACCTAAGCTTATTTTACTGTTTTAAGAACATAAAATTCATCATTGATCTATCAGTTGTCCTATTTAGTGTATTTATTAAATTACATATCAATCCAAGGGATGTTTACGCAGAAAACACACCCATTTGGTTTTACTCCCAGGTGAGGAGACAGGAAATGGAAGAGTCAAGTTCTGGCGCTATTTATTTTGTTATTTCTCTTCACATTTCAGAGTTTAAAACTCCTTCAGGAGCTGTAAAAAAATTGGATCTCCAAAAACATTGAATTGTGAACGTAAGCTTTAAAAAAAAAAACAGTTTCAAACAGGCTGTGAAGGTTGTAAATTAACAGAAATTTCTTTCTGTGCTTCTGCATGATACTCCCATCATTCCCGATAGCAGTATTCCAAACAGAAAGAAAATTCTGGGATTTTCACAGAACAATGCTTTTGGGGAACCTAGAAATTTGCAAGTGTTTACAACTCCTAAATGAGTGCTTAACTCCTAACAATGCATACTATTGCCCAGTAAGCACTGGGTCTTGTATGCTTTTTCTGGCTCATCATGCTGCTTCCTGCTCACACATAGGATTGCATCTCTAAAAGTATTGGTGCATTTAACTAATTTCAAAGAGTAGATGATAGAGTTTTTTCAGTGTTCCCCCAAAATTTTCCTTTGGGAGGGGAGAAGGAGGAGACAGATAATGTCCCCATTCAATAATTCTCAGCTTTTTTCCATTTGCTTTCACATATCTATCTACAGTATAGGTCTTACGTAATATATTATTACATTGTACAATGGTATGCCATTATTAGTATGCATAAATTTTAATTATGCATCAGTTGCTTAAAAATACGCTGGGAATATTTTTTAAAAATAAATCTAGATCAACAGTTGAGCTTTTAACTGAGGGTGCAATTTGAAAATTGAGAACTCATTGTATCAGTGCATGGTTTCTAAGGAAGGGATAACATGAATTGCAAATCCCTCCACTCCGCCAAGAGCTTAAAATACTGTAGGTCTGTTTGACAGACTGGTGTATGCCCCCTCCTCACATGCAAGATTGGACATGAATGATCAGCTGTATAAAGCTACGTAAAGCTGAATTTCAAATAGTGGGTGGAAAATACTCACTTGGATGTGGGGAGTGTCAATGCAGAGACTTAATTAGTAATATGGCATGCATATATTCGTTAACTTTTTATTTCTTTTGTACTTTATTCCAAATGTTTTCAGGGATATGACAGTACAACTGCACAAGTAGGTTGCTAGTTTTGTATTATCTCTGAAATTCCCATAGTTGGAGAGGAAACAATCCCCACACACTGGCAGTCTTAACTGCTGTAAACTGTCTCCACATATTCGCATTCCCTTGGTAATCTTTGTAGCACTTGGAGGGCAAGAGACATTAACATTGGCTGTTTGGGCATATTATGTGCGGGCATATTATGTGCAATGTTCTTGTACATATGTATTTTTTCATTTCTGCCATACCTATTTTGAATAGGTGATTTCCTATATCATACCTCTGTCAAGCTGTTTTTGCCATCTGGCACTCAAGAAAAGCAAGTATATTATTATGGAGCTGACAGAACTTGGGATTTCTGAATCATGGCCATCTCTTCCTTCAATCTAGTTTTCTCCAAGGGATTATTTGGTGATCAATATACAACATGATTTCCTCATGTTTGCTATTTTGAACGCCTAAGGACAGTGTTAGAAACGGAGATATGAGAGCTAGGAGCTAAAGGGCACCTTAAACCTAAGTTATTGGCACAACAACAGAATATCTCGGTGTGCGTTTTATAACAAGAATACAAAGCTGAAAGTGAATGAACTGCAGCTGAAATATTACGTTCATTTTTCACATGGTCTAGACCAGGGACGTCCAACTCCCAAGAGACTGTGATCTACTCGGGGGGGTGGCTGACAGTGATCTAACCATTTTAGGGGGGCAGGTCAAAGTTGTTGAGCTTTTTTTAGAGGAGTGGGTCAGACTTCTAAGTGCAAAATTAAAATAAATTGCTCACCAATAACAGCTGCTAAGAGACGAATGCAGTGCTACAGCAGACAACTAAACGCAATGCAGGGAAAGACCATGAGGGAGGGGGCGGAAACATAATTCTAAACAACGCGAGCAATAGGGATCCCGCGATCGATCGACAACAATCATTCGGGGAATCGATCTGTCGACCAGTTGGACACCCCTGATCTAGTCCTTTCCCTGCCCACCCCTAATATACTTGAGAGGGTCTCTTCTCCAATCTTCAGAGAGTAGTTGGAAGTGGCAAGGCAGAAAAAGGTCCTTCTTTCCTTCTACTTTGTAGTTTTAATGTGAAGTCTTAGGTGCAGTGCTGTGCCCAGAGCTCAGAACCTGCTTGCACTAATGAAATTACCTGTCACAAAATGCGCCTGAACCATGGGAGTTTCGGACACTGCCTAAGGAGTGCTTCCAAAACTCTGTCTGCTATTCTGCACTTGACTCTTGAACTGCAGCAGTTTTAGCATGACACTAATATACTGGTTTCAAGCCAATGCATAGGAAAAATTTGGGAAAATAATAATCCTTTTACACTAAATTGTGCATTACTGAAGTTGGAATGCTTTGAGGATGATGTGGATGTAGTACTTTGTTATCTGAATGTTCGGCTGTTAAGTGGAGCTTAAATTAAAGTGATTTTCAGTCTTATTTAAAGTGTGCTGTGCTTGATTTATAAAGTTCCAGCAATGCAATAGGCATTTGTATTAGTGAACAGTAAACACAAAGTTTCAACCTAGCTTTATCAAGAGCAACTCTGAAACTTTTGCACAAGTATGTTTTTGCACATGTATGTTCTGCTGTCTATAATGAAAGTCAAAATGCATGCATGGATGTAATTGTTAAATAAATGTTTCAGATTTAGCATCTGAAAAATGCTCAAGCTGCTATTAACTATTGTTGTTGAATCGCTATTAACAAGGCATATATAACTCACTGGTCTTCAACTAATGGCTCAGGACCCACTACTGGGTTGCTAACTGATCGAAGGTGGCTTGCAGCAGCTGCACTACCACAATATAAAGTGAAAATTTTGCCATTTGTAGTAAAATTTAAGAAATGGGTTCCCAAATGCATGTTTCAGTTGAAGGTAGGCCCCAGGTCTGAAAAAGTTGAAGACTATTAATCTAACATGTATGCAAGTAATTTAAAAAGCTAAAGAAGCTCATCCTTCTATCTTCTGTGTGCCTTCCCAAAATTCATTTTTGAAGCTTATTTTTTATACAATATATTTTAATACCCATCCGTACAAAGCGAATGGCAATAAGCTATTTGGAACAAAATAGCAAACAATTATTTCAAACAAAAGGATTTAGAATTCATTGCAAAATAGATTTGGAATTAACTTCATTGACCCAGAAGGGTTCTTTTTACAATAATTTGTTCTCTCACTGAGCAAAATACGAAATTTTCCATGAGAATCGATAAGTCCTGTAGACCTAGAATCGAATAGTAGTATAACTGTTAAAATACATCTTTTCAAATGATTTTGTTTTGTAGCATAAAATGGGGAAAAAGCAGAATGGCAAAGGCAAAAAAGTTGAAGAAACAGAACCTGAAGAATTCGTTGTGGAGAAAGTCCTGGACAGGCGTGTAGTTAATGGCAAGGTTGAGTACTTCTTGAAATGGAAAGGATTTACTGAGTAAGGAGCTTCATCCAGAACTACTATTTGCTTGGTTGGTTGGGGGTGTAGGCCACAATTCCATGTGTAGAGCTGAAAACATTTTGAAAGACTCACATAGCCAAAAAGAATCACCTTTCCCTGTAAAACTCTGGCCTGTTTAGAAATGATTTAAATTAATAATAGCTGTGTGGTGGGCTGCAGTAAAAAAATAAAAGCAGCTCTGGCTGTGTGGATGCCTCTTCAGCCCATGCTACCAATGGCAAAACCTCCCTTCACTATTGGCAGTATGTGTTCTTTGACACCCGACTGTAACTACATTGGTACCTCGGGTTACAGACTCCACTAACCCAGAAATAGTACCTCGGGTTAAGAACTTTGCTTCAGGATGAGAACAGAAATTGCACAGCGGCAGTGGGAGGTAAAGTGGTACCTCAGGTTAAGAACAGTTTCAGGTTAAGAGCGGACCTCCAGAACGAATTAAGTTCTTAACTAGAGGTACCATTGTAATCCAAAAGCTGCTGATTGAACTAGAAATTAAAACTGAATATAGTCAAGAACCATGCTGCCATCTTTGTTAACACACATTAGTCACTTTAGAAAAGGTTACAAATCTTAACTACAAAAATAATCTTTTTTCTTCTCAGTCAATTCTATACATCTTGCTGAAAATGTTTCTTAGCGTTCTGATCCTTGTTGCGTGCAAGACCTCTTCTCTCACCCCATCTAGTTTGCAAGGTTTTATAAGGTGTAACATAGTCTCTCCCAGTTATGCATAATTAACAAGCATATGTTTTTCTAGAACCTTGCTTTGTTATTGAGCTAAACATGCTACTTCTTTACTATAAATAGCAATATAGCAGCATAGACCAAAGTAAGCATTCCAAGGTTTTTAAAAAGAAAAATCTAGTTTACCAGGAACAGAAGAATATTGATTCATTTCTCTCTGGCACTTGTGAAAGACTAGAAACTCAACCTAAGTCTAGAAACATCCAAAAAATTCTTTGTCCTTGTGTGCAATTCTGAATGTTTGCAAACTGAACATTACTATAGGGCTCAATTGACCTATATAGCATTGCTTATGTTACTATTTGTGGACTCTGAAATAATAATTCAGCTCATTTAACAAACCTTACTGTCTACACCTGGGTAACCCATGACCATTTTTCGATAATCTTAAGTCTAAATGATTGTACACAAGTAGGTTGGAAATATTTTTACAGAATCTGTTGTGACCCAAGTTGGCCCACATAAAATTAAATTGCAGAGAAATATGACTTCAGTGTCTTTAATAACTGAGCACAATTTAGCATTTTGTTAGGGTGGGTGGTTTGACTTTATAGAGTTTGGCCATCTGATCCAGATTTCTAATTACTTCCATTCCTTTTTTTCATGAATTTTGTTTTAGTGCCGATAACACATGGGAACCAGAAGAAAACTTGGATTGTCCAGAGTTAATAGAAGCTTTTCTGAGTTCCCAGAAAGCTGGTAAAGAAAAAACAGAGGGCGCCAAAAGAAAATCTCTTTCTGATAGTGAGTCTGATGACAGCAAATCAAAGAAAAAAAGAGAGTCTGTAAGTTGGTTTGGTGTTTGGATTTCTCCTAAAATACATTGATGAGGTGTAGTGGTTAGTGTGTTGGACTAGGGTCAGGAACACCCAGGTTCAAATGCTTGTTCAGCCATGGTACTCATCCCAACCTATTTCATGGAGTTGGGAAGATACCCTGCAGGTGTGGGAGGAGCAGGTGTGCTAGGCATGGTGGTGACCTGGTGGATGGGCTACAATGGTCATGATTGTACTGAGTACTGAGGAGTTTTGAGCCCGACAAAATCTGGAAGGCTATAGGCTCCCTATTCCTGATGTAACATATCCTTAGTTCCGTGAACAAAGGTTGGTATAAAATCATAATATAGTAGTTAGCCATGCAGCTTTTAACATGTGATGAATACAAACTTAAGTATCTCCTAAGAGCTGTTATAGCCCAGTTTTGCAAGCTGCTTGTACTAGGTTACATCTTGGTAGCCTCTTTAACGTTCAGTCTGAAAAGTTTCTAAAAATGTCTTCTGATCTGCAGAAAGTTAATTCTTTAGTACTGTGAAGTTATCAGTATGTTCATGGAAAGTGAAATGAAACAATTGATGGGTAAAAGAACTGAAAGCTTAGTGTAATTTATTATTATTATTTTTTGCTGACATTCTGGAAGACCTTTGAGGGGGTTTGTGTGTTCTATGGCAGCTTTTCTGCAATAGTTGGAACGTATTTAAATGTTACTCCATATTTAATCAAACAGGTTGATAAACCCAGGGGATTTGCAAGAGGTCTTGATCCTGAGCGAATAATTGGAGCCACAGACAGTAGTGGGGAACTTATGTTTCTTATGAAATGGTAAGTGGTAGAATGGAAATTTCAGCAGCAGTGCAAAGTGTGTCTTAGACTGACCTTGATAAAGAATATAATTTTCCTGTTATAAACTGACTGATAGGATGGAAAGACTATTGGTGGTTGGGTTGGTGCTCCCTCTGAGCATTGGTAATTTTGGTCCTTTACTACTTAAGGAGTTTAGAAAACTTAAGGGCACTCTTGTTGCTGTTTAGTACCAAACTAGTACTAGGTTTTAAACTGAAGAGAGCCCTAGCCTATTTTGTTACCACCTCTATCAAACTTAAACCACTGTTGCTGGTATTTAGTTTTTACTGTACTTTTATGTATGATTATTTAAATTGTTACAGTGTAAGACTGAATTTCTACTCCAAAGACCATAGCTACACACTTGCAGCTCAGTTTTATTCATGTGTTCTTGAAACAAAGGCCTACTTACTCCTGCAGCATTAGTAGCTACATTCAGAAATCTCCCCCAACAGTTACTATTGACTACTTTACCTCTCACTTCCAATTGACTGCTTTACTGGTGGTATAAAAACCCAGTGAACAGCAACTTAGGTTTTGTTACAAATGGGAAGAGATACCTAGTATGCCCCCCCCTCCTTTGAAGAGCTGCTACTGCCCAAGATTCTCAGTTAAGCAAACTTTGAATAATTAGAGCAGGAATTCTTAATTCCTTTGACCCTTTTAATGATAAGTCTATAACAGGGGTCAGCAGCCTTTTTCAGCTGTGGGCCGGTCCACTGTCCCTAAGACCATGTGGTGGGCCGGACTATATTTTTTTTGGGGGGGGTGAATGAATGCCTGTGCCCCACAAATAACCCAGAGATGCATTTTAAATAAAAGGACACATTCTACTCATGTAAAAACATGTTGATTCCCGGACCATCCGTGGGCCGGATTGAGAAGGCGATTGGGCCGCATAGACCCCTGGTCTATGATAATCATGTGCATGCTTGCCTGGGAATAAAGGTCTGCTGCATTAAATCAGACAAACTTTTGCATAAATATATCTAGGATTGGGTTGTGTGCATAACTGCTACTGAAAAGGTCGAGTAGCGGTACTTCAGACTGCAGGCTCACGAAATCCTGAATGCATGTTCTTTTCTTAAAACAGGAAAGATTCTGATGAAGCAGACCTGGTGCTCGCCAAAGAAGCAAATGTTAAATGCCCTCAGATTGTAATTGCTTTTTATGAAGAACGACTAACCTGGCACTCATGCCCAGAGGATGAAGCGCAATAATTGTTTGGGTTATCCCCCTCCCCCCCTTTTTTTATATATGTATGATTATAACTTACCAGAAATGTTGAAAGCTACGTTTTAATGAGACAAGTTTGATTATTTTTGAAGTAATGTGTTTTGCATAAACAGAAAGAAAAAAAAGAGTTTGTGCTGTTTGCTTTGTTTTATTACAGGAGAGCATTTGGTACTGCTTTCTTCATTTTAGGCAAAGTGTTTTCTAAAACTTGATAGTTAATAGTGAACCCTAATGGCAGATTGATCAAATTCACAAGTGTTTTTGTAGTTCTATACGACTGTTGTGCATGCATCTTTCCCCCAGTTTAGTCCTTTCAAGTCTTTAGTATTTGTGGCTACTTGGTTCTAAAGGGACCAGGTAAAAACTTTTTAGTAAGTGGAAGGTGCAGGCTGTATATTATTTACTTTATTGTAAATACTGGTGAACACTTATCAATAAAATAGTTTTATATTATTGTTCCTTGTTTTCCAAACAGTGATAAGCTTAAGACTCTTAAGAAAAATAGCATCCTCCAATAAAAGCACTGGCACAACGTTCACCAAACAGAATTACTGCAATGAGATTTTGCATGGCCCCTACAATTTGGCCCACAACTTTCCTTGGCTTGTGTCTTAGAATAAACTAACTTTTGTTTCAGGTGGCCATACAAATCTCCAGTAGCATGCTTTTAAGTTTGACCCAACTGGATCATGAGCAATATTACATTTCTCAGTTTCTAGAAGGTCAGTGTCCTGACTTGGTTGCCATTTCTCCAGTCAAAGCAATTTGGTTTCTAAGGTGTATACACCGGATTGAGATGAGTTTGGCATAAGTGTGTGAGAGGATACAAAGCCATGTTTTTACCTAGGGCCATACTACAGACTGCTCTGGCATGATGTGTGCAACACAACAGCATAGCTCAGCTAGTTAGAGCATGGTGCTGATAACACCAAGGTTGCAGGTTTGATCCCCGTACCTGCATTGCATGGGGTTGGACTAGATGACCCTCAGGGCCCCTTCCAACTCCATGATTCTATGCAATATGGGCTAGTTCCTAAAAACATACCAATTGTTGATTTTGTGCAGTGACTTCATGAGAAACAACCCAGCATGTATAATAGTGCTGTGAAAATGACTTTTTTCTAAAGTGAGCTAAACTCACTGTCTCTCGCTGCTTTAACTGCAGGTGGAGCAAATTTCTGGATACTCTTTTGCCTTGCATTACAGAAGAAGTGTATACCTACGTTCACATATGGCCTTTACACAGTACAGTCACACCTTGGAATTCGAACAGCTTTGTTGCTGAACGTTTTGGCTCCCGGATTATTGAAAACCGGAAATGGTTGTTCCGGTGTTCAAACGTTCTTTTGGAAGCTGAACGTCCAGTGGGGCTTCCGCGGTGATTGGCTGCAGGAGCTTCTTGTGGCCAATCGGAAGCCGCGCCTTGGTTCCCAAATGTTTCGGAAGTCAAACAGACTTCCGGAACGGATTCTGTTCAACTTCCAAGGTACGTCTGTATATGTGAATAGCAATTTTGAATAGTTCCCTCCTTTACATGCACATGGAAATACTAGCAATGTGTATACACACATACACATGTGTATAAATATATAATTTGGCCATTCAAGCCACTGATACAGTAGCTTTATGCTTTCTAATTCATTGAATTGTAATCACAGCAAAGGGGCTACACACACTGGCTGAATCATTATATCCCCTGCCAGTCTATCTTGTCCATATGATGGTATTCTTCCAATATTATAATTATAATGGTGTGAAGAAGAGAGCTGGATTGCACTCGTGCAGGTAGAACTATCTATTGAAACTTTGACATAGGCCACAGCAGAGGGAAAAGTCTGAAGAGGGGATAATTTTGAACCCTGTGTTCTTACGGTTCTTAATCATACTGACCTCTCTTCAGACCCCACCAGTGTGGAATATGGCAGAGATGAGATGAGGCAGCACCATTGCAGTCCTTTTCTTTACATGATTATAATTGTATTATGGGATGAATGCAACTAATAAAATACTATTTTTTAAGTAATAAAATATTTTTAAAATGGGGATAATCACCATCATAAAGCTGTTATGTGTTCCTCTTCTGCAGGTGATTATTCATCACAAGCTGTCTTTACTGAGCAGGTTCCCCAATGCACTGGTGTTACAGGAGTTGTACTGGTCCTATTTTTAAAATGGCATTCCATAAAATGCAGCAAAATCATTAGCCATAGAAATTGGGTTTCAACTATTTTTAGGATTGGTAGGTAAATGGCAGTTTTTGAAATAAAACTTGTTCCAGTCTCAATCTTGATAATATTCAATCAACATGATCATTTGAGAAAACAACTTTATTTTCTTTTTTAATAATACTGTAGCATATTAGGACCAAAATGCATACTAGGATGTCAGGGATTTACCTGCTAGTATGCACAGAATTTTCTTGGTAAGGATAGAACAAGCAACAAATAAATTCATGTAAAAAAATAATAATATCACTACTGCTGAAATGAGAGTGTTTAAATTTCAAGATGCCAACTTTACAATAGCAACTAAATTTAAAACGAGCTGTGCACAGGGCAGTGAAAAGTTTTTGAGATACCTGGACTGCCATTAAATTCCAGCTTCCTAGTAGACATTTTCATCTGCATTGCTACAGCCAGAAAAGGAAAGGATGCACCCAGTTCCTTATCTTTAGAAAAACTTTCTATTAATTCAATGTGTTACTGCTTGATGGGAAGATTACTGTAACTGGAGATGTAGTAAACTTAACAGTCTGAAGCCCCTTGGAATACAAGGTGGTAAATGTGAGCTTTTTTTTACTGACTTAAGTATTATTGTGCTTTCCCTTGTCGGGTCAGTACATGAGCTGGTTTTAACAAGAATTCTCAAAACTGGTCAAAGTGAGCTACAATACAGCAAGTATCTCCGAAGTGATAAAATGGCTAGAATGGAACATTTCATTTATGAGACAATTGAGTCTTCTAAATATGGTATTGGAAAAAATAAGGTTTTCATATGTGGAATTGACTCCCTACATTTCAATAAAACATTTCCTTGCTCCTGTTGTTGCTCCCATCCTTATTTTTCCCTGTCTTTTGGTGCTGCCCAACAGTGTTTGTGTTGCAGATATATCTGCTTTGGGACCCAAACCTTAAAAGTGTATGTATGAATGAACTGGTTTTACAAGTGAGCAGGTGAAAGTTGTGTGTGAGTAACCTGCTTGCTGTGTGCACAAAGATTAATTCCACCCATCTTGGGACAGGATACCTTCCTAAAACGCCATCTCCCATATTTTAGTGTCATGCAAAAGTCCTGTTTCACTTAAGCAGCTGCAGTTTCAAACCTGGCTAGTTGCGGGGGGAGGGTGGACAGACAGGGAAGGCTTCACATTTCTAGATGGCAGGGTGCATGAATAAAAATCACATTCTTTTTGTGAACATGGAAAGGAAAAGCAATCTTGGCCACGCCATCTGTATAGTTTTCAATCTCTGGATGAGAATTCATTTTTTGCTGAAAGTTACGCAGGTGAGTGGTTATAGCAGAGAGAGGCTTGGGCCATATTGGTAAAGACTTAATTCTGCAACACCAGATAATTTACAGTTCTTCCGCTCCAGCCTTTGAATTAAATGGTAATTGCTACACAGTTGCTGCTTTCTGCACATGCAGACAAGCTCTTGTTTGTGCATGTTACTCTGCTAAGTGCATTTGATCATGCAGGGTTGAGGAACTTTATGGTGATTTATCAAATAGTACCTTGTAGGATACGAACAGGCAACCAACAAGAATGTGGTTTGCAGAATAAGATCCAAGAACATAGCCTTATTTGTTAAATTACATTACCAATATTTTATTTTTTATATATATATATATATATATATATATATATATATATATATATATATGGTTTAAACCAGGGTTTCCCAAACTTGGGTCTCCAGTTATTGAACTATAGTTCCCATCATCCCTGACCACTGGTCCTGATAGCTAGGAGTGATGGGAGTTGTAGTCCAAAAACAGCTGGAGACCCAAGTTTGGGAAACCCTGGTTTAAACCAAAATATTTCATGGCATCTGAATCTCTGCCCCCTCCTTGTTAAGATGGTTCATTTTTGTTCAGCTTTGTTCTTTGTAAAGCAAGGATCTGCCCATGGTACTGCTTTATAGGTATTCATCATGCAAAATAAATGGAAGCTGTTAATAGCCCTTTTGTGTTATTGCGCCTTCATTACAGATGCCCAAATCCTTTAAAATGTTGCACACTTCAGATTTGGGAGCAGGGAGCGGTATTTGTGTGACGTTACTGATAATCTCCCATCCTGACATCTGGACGTCAAGGGCTGATTTTATAATGACTATAAGATAGGCAGAAGGCAAACCAGCGTAATCTTCATTTCTGACCGCACCCCCCCCCCCCCCCCCCGCAGTCCTGGAAAGACTGCATGCTGTAAAAGATGCATTGTTATCTTATGGAGAGAAGATCTGTTGATCTGACAAGTTCAAGGACCAACGATCATATTTCCAGCACCTCTCCCCTCCCCCCTACCCGCTCCTATTGCTCTTTGCAGCACCGGCATTTCCGCATGCGCGATCTACTCTTACCGCTCCTTCCTCTGCGGCTGCTCCATCGCAAGCCCGACCAATAAGAGATCGCCTGCAATGACAGGAAGTAGGTCCCTTCCAGCTCGCGATTCTTTTCCTAGATCTACTGCCGGAGCCTGAATTCACGTGCAACCCGGTCCCATGCACGTTTGCTCAGCGGTGAAAGACACCGACGTCTGTGGCGCCTACTTCCAAGTAAATATTCACAGGGGAGCAAGAAGAAGCCCTAGCTGGCTGGATTTTTATTTTATTTTTAATGTTGCACCAAGCAAAGGCAGAACGGGACTCAGGGGACGGCAGTTTAATCTTGGCAAACCATTGACTCGAAATAATGACTTTTTATCTATTTTTGCTCATGCTGCAGAAACATCAGCAAGAAAATACGGTACTAACGCATTGGGAAGCCACGCCCACCCGGTCCGGAAAGGGTTAAGATGGGCTGTGTGACATTTGCCTATTCCTCAGTTGGTTAAGCTTGTAAAAAACATAAGTCGCTCCATGTCAAAAACAAGGATTCAGAAGAGTTGCATGCGCTCCGCTATGAATATGTGTCTCATCCCAACTCTGCTTAAAAACCTCAAATGAAGGAGAGTCCACAACGTCCCAAAGAAGTCCGTTTGGAACAGCTCTTACTATCAGACAATTCTTCCTTATGTTTAATAATAATAATAATTTTTTATTTATACCCCGCCCACCCCAGCCTGAGATGGGTTCAGGGCGGCTAACACCAATAAAATTACAATAAAACATAATAGGGGGGAAACAAACAAAAAACAAACAAAAAAACTATTTATACGGGTTAAAATACAATTTTAAATGCAGCCTCATTTTAATAGTAGCCCAAAAATCAAAACCTTAAGGAGAGGGAAACATAAGGATCAGACTGAGTCCAAACCAAAGGCCAGGAGAAACAGCTCTGTCTTGCAGGCCCTGCGGAAAGATGTCAAGTCCCGCAGGGCCCTAGTCTCTTGTGACAGAGCGTTCCACCTAGTTGGGGCCAGTACTGAAAAGGCCCTGGCCCTAGTTGAGACCAATCTAACCACCTTGCAGCTTGGGACCTCACCTCCAAAGTGTTGTTATTTGTGGACCGCGGAGCATACCAGGAGAGGTGGTCCCATAGGTATGAGGGTCCTAGGCTGCATATGGCTTTAAAGGTCAAAACCAGCACCTTAAACTTGACCCTGTACTCCACCTGGAGCCAGTGCAGCTGGCAAATCACTGGATGAATGTAATCCCGCGGCAAGGACCCCATAAGGAGCCTCGCCGTGGCATTCTGCACCTGCTAGAGTTTCTGGGTCAGCTTTAGTGGGAAACTCCTTTCTTTTAACTTGAAGTATTGGTTTGTGTCCAGTGAGAGTGTGCTATGTGTGTGACAGAGAGTGTCTGTGCTGTTGCCACCTTGTATATTGGCGTAGTTTTGTATATTTTTCCTCGTACTGGGGGGACAGCAATGAGAGCCCTCTCCCTGATAGAGTATCATGCTATGTCCCTCTGCCTGCTCTTTGTGTCATGCCGCACACCCACACCCCCAGCAGCCATTTTCTGACTGTCGCCCATAGTACTTTCTCGAAATTGAAAATATGCCCACTGGTCCTAAAAAAGGTTGGTGACCCATTTGTTGAATCAACGTTTGTGCTTTCAGAGTCTGTAAGCTTGGAGTTTACAGAGAATTATTTACAGTGCAGCAAGGGAAAGGCCGGCTAAGAAGTCTACACTACACTAGTTGCTATTGCAAGCATTTTTTTGCTCTAATTTGTTTGTTTTCATTTTTGGACAGTTTTTAAGACAGTTGACTCAGCAGTGTTAATTGCAACTTACAGGCAAAGAGCATATCTGTTTTACTTTTATGTGGATTTAAAAGGGCAGGCACTTATGAGAGCAGCTGCCTTGGCTTAGTGTTTCGCTGATGAGGAATGGTCCTCTTCTGAAGGACAGTGATGAATAGTGTGGACTCCCAGGAAACATGGCGAACTTTCCTATGAGGGAAGGTTTTGTGTTTCTCCCCCTCACCTTTCCTCAGTTGGCAGCCAGGGTATCCCAGTGGATGACAGACAATAAAAATCCTCTTTGAAATTTATTGCTACAGATCCCAATAAGATGAAAGTGAGATCTGGGGTCTTACACAGTACCAACCAGTTGTCAACAGGTTCACCATACCCATTGAGTCAATCACCCATCTCCTACTACCCTTCTGAGAAAAACCCCATTCCATCATCCCACTATATATACCTGTAAGGGTCTGGTGACTTCTGTTTCAGTGTATCTGAAGAAGTGTGCATGCACACGAAAGCTTATACCCAGAACAAATTTAGTTGGTCTCGAAGGTGCTACTGGACAGTTTTTTTTATTATTTCCAGTACCAACATGGTCACCGCATTAGTTCAGACCCAAAATGCTTCATACAAAATCCTCTAAAACTCCATTTACAATTTTAATTCAGAAATCTATGCTGGACTATTGTGACTCAGCAACTGGAGCCCAGAGAGGTGGAGGATATTTATTTATTTCATAAAATTACTATACCACTCGATTATAGGCTTGAGAGCAGTACATGTGAAAAGGATCTAGGAGTCTTGGTTGACCACAAACTTGACATGAGCCAACAGTGTGACGCGGCAGCTAAAAAAGCCAATGCAATTCTGGGCTGCATCAATAGGAGTATAGCATCTAGATCAAGGGAAGTAATAGTGCCACTGTATTCTGCTCTGGTCAGACCTCACCTGGAGTACTGTGTCCAGTTCTGGGCACCACAGTTCAAGAAGGACACTGACAAACTGGAACGTGTCCAGAGGAGGGCAACCAAAATGGCCAAAGGCCTGGAAACGATGCCTTATGAGGAACGGCTAAGGGAGCTGGGCATGTTTAGCCTGGAGAAGAGGAGGTTAAGGGGTGATATGATAACCATGTTCAAATATATAAAAGGATGTCATATAGAGGAGGGAGAAAGGTTGTTTTCTGCTGCTCCAGAGAAGCGGACACGGAGCAATGGATCCAAACTACAAGAAAGAAGATTCCACCTAAACATTAGGAAGAACTTCCTGACAGTAAGAGCTGTTCAACAGTGGAATTTGCTGCCAAGGAGTGTGGTGGAGTCTCCTTCTTTGGAGGTCTTTAAGCAGAGGCTTGACAACCATATGTCAGGAGTGCTCTGATGGTGTTTCCTGCTTGGCAGGGGGTTGGACTCGATGGCCCTTGTGGTCTATTCCAACTCTATGATTCTATGATTCTAGCCAAAAGCCTCAGAGCTTTGCTACTGCTTTACTACTGCAGCAATAGGTAAAAAAGGTAAAGGACCCCTGGACAGTTAAGTCCAATCAAAGGTGACTGGGGTTGTGGTGCTCATCTCGCTTTCACGCCGAGGGAGCTGGCGTTTGTTCACAGACAGCTTTCTGGGTCATGTGACCAGCATAACTAAACCGCTTCTGACACAATGGAACACCATGATGGGAGCCAGAGCGCACAGAAAT